CTCTTAAATATCCCTCATCCTGCCAAACCTCCTGAGTCACCGCCTCCACTTCCCTGACCGTGCCGAACGATCCCGCTGTCCTTCCAACTCCCGCCTGACGTCTCCATCAGTTTCCAATTCCCGTCCCCTGCGCTATTCCTGCTAGTCTTGGAGGCCCAACCGTTGTGAGTCTTGGCGTCGCGGCCCAAGCGCGTTGACTTGAAGGTTTACCCGTCGGCCCTGTATTGTAGGTCCCAATCTCCGGATGATGGTGTTTCGTCTTTGAAGCTGAGCCCCCGGAATAAAACCACCACCGAAAGATCGCAATCGGATTGTCATGAGATCGCAAGGCTTCGAAGATGTCGAAGGGCGGGCCTTGCTTCGAGGCCGTTCTCGTGTTGAGGTATCGCAGCCGTTCCCGAAGACATAAGCTTCGAATGCTTCGAATGTTGAGTATGGCTCGAGGCGCGCCCATGTGCTACGCAGGCCTATCAACAGAAGCTTCAAACGCTTCGAATGTTGAGTATGACTCGAGGCGCGCCCATGCGCTATGTGGGCCTATCAGCACCCTCTATTAGTAAACCGCCTTCAAGCATTTACTCAGAAGAAATGCCAGACAGTGAGTATTGTTAGGCTTAGGGTTAGGTTTGGGTCTAGGGTAGAGTCACTGCGGGTCATCGCGTGACAATAACACTTCAAAGAAGTTTGAAGCTAGACTGAGCTCTGCTGAGTGGGGGATGTGATTCTGCATGAGTCTCGCTACTAGGGGCCGAGTGCTGCTTTACAATCATGCAAAACCGCTCTTAAATATCCCTCATCCTGCCCAAACCTCCCAAGTCACTGCCTCCACTGCTCTAACCATGCCTAACGATCCCAATATCCTTCCTACTCCCATCCGACACCTCCATCAGTTTTGACTCCTGTCCCGCATGCTACACCCTGCTAGTCTCAAAGGCCCGACTGTTGCAAATCTTAGCATTGCAACCTGAGCACACCAACCTAAAGGTTCACCCAACAGCCCTGTATCATGTGTCTCAGTCTCCAGATGATGGGGTTTTGCCCTCAAAGTCCAGCCCCCAGAATAAAGCCGCCACCAAAAGATCCCGATCAGATTGTAGTGAGATCGTGAAGCTTCAAAGATATTGAAGAATGAGCTTTACTCGAAGATGTTTTCATGTCAAGGTACCGCAGGCTTCCCCAAAGGCAGAAGCTTTGAACACTTCAAATGTTGAGTTTGACTCAAGGCGCGCCCATGCGCTACATGGGCCTATCAATAGGCTTTGCTTGAAGATGTTTTTGTGTTGAGGTATTGCAGGCTTTCCTGAAGGTGGACGTTTTGAATGCTTTGAATGTCAATTTTGGCTCAGAGCACGCCCATGCACTACATGGGCCTATCAACATAATGAAAACACAATATATATGAAACAGTGATGCAGGTGAAACACATCAAGTGATGTAATCAGTTGTGATAGTACAGGGTCAACAACGAATAGTAAGGAAGAAAAGATAACCCCCCTTGAGACTGTAACAGATCTCATAACCTGTTGATACAGGTGATGGTCAAGAGCAAAGAGCAAGAATGGATGATATTTAATCTAGACACTATTTGTCTAGAATATATATGAAAGGATTAAGTTCATATGAAAATAGGCATAATGGTGTATGGCTGACACTCAGCCACACGTCACATGCTCTCGGCTTGTCCTTTCCTGGACTGCCTCGCAACACTTCATAAGTATGATAAGTAAGATCACTGTGGCGGGGATTAGAATCCTATCTATATGTAGGTGTTCTCGCTCGCTTTTTGCTGATGTACATTCCAACGGGCCGTCGTTCGTTCGTTGTCGCACCGCGTCGATGAGTTGGCCGAGGGCGATCGGACGTTGGAGTGCCGAGACGCCGGGGGCGCTGAGACCGTCAAGCGCCCGCGACGGTCCGCGCTAGAGGACCGTCAATCTCGCGAAAGAAGGTAAGGTTCGGGCGAAATTTGGCAGGCGCGCCTGCCAAATTTCGCCCCTCCGCAGTGCCCTTTCTTGCGTCAAGTCCTTGCCCTTCGGCGGAGTGTTGTCTATCTTTCAGATCGTGCTACTTGACAGATATCTCTGCCGATAGACAGCAATCGATTCCGGGGTGCGTTTGCTGATCCGGATTCCATCGCGTTTGAGACAAGTTCGGGGCTGACTTTTGGCGCAAGCAATGTAGACGTTGTTCTGTACCCTCTGGCCGTCGACATATGCTCGCACAGTTGTTCTCGGACTTTGAACAACGAAGCTTGAAGCCTGCAGCGGTTCGCGTCGATCATGTGACCGAGTCGGGCCTTTCAGGGAGCGCGCTCAGCGCGCCTGTCAAGTTTTGACTAGCTTGTTTGCTCGGCTCAAAATTGCAAAGTCGCGATGTTGCGCCTCTTGACTCGACCCATACGTTCTATCCCCATTGCTCGCAGAACAATGGCCTCCATCCCGGATTTCGTGCGTACCTCTCAAGTTCTACCTCTGCATTGCTGTCTTACGTGTCTATAGAATCAAGCCTTGTATGCGCCCCTCGCCGAGACCGACCCTGAGGTGCAGAACATTATCGACAAGGAAACATGGCGGCAATTTTCTGGGCTCGAACTCATCGCCTCTGAGGTGCGTATGGTCGATTTTCGTTGCCCCACGTATCCGCCCCTGACACTTATCTCCGGTAGAATCTGACGAGTAGGGCTACGATGGAGGCCAACGGCTCCATCCTCACCAACAAGTACTCTGAGGGTCTTCCAGGTGCACGTTATTACGGCGGAAACGAATGGATAGACGAACTCGAGGTTTTGTGCCAAAAACGTGCTCTTCAGGCCTTCCATCTCGACCCCACCAAATGGGGTGTCAACGTCCAGCCGTATTCAGGCAGTGTGAGCCATCATGACCATCCCCCCATGAGTACCTTAATTGACTATCCCTCTGTAGACCGCAAAGTATGTGTCATGTCGCCATGTCAGGCCATGTTCTTCACTAACCTGCATGCATCCTTCAGCTTTGCCGCATTAACGGCGCTCCTTCAACCTCAGGATCGCCTCATGGGCCTCGGACTGCCCGACGGTGGTCATTTGACACATGGCTATTATGTACGTTTATCGGATGTCATCCTTATTCGGCTCTTCCACCTCTGCCTTTCCATTCTGACAATGCCATGCACCTCTCTAGACCGCAAAAAAGAAAATGACCGCTTCCTCAATCTATTTTCAATCACTTCCATACGGTATTGATTCGTCAACGCACCTGGTTGATTATGAAAAACTCGCTGCGCAGGCGAAAATCTTCAAACCTCAACTCCTAATCTGTGGTGCGTCTGCATACCCGCGTGATTGGGACTATGCGGCGCTGCGCAAGATTGCAGACGAGCACGGCGCGTTCGTTATGGCCGACATTGCGCACACGAGCGGGCTTATCGCTGCAGGCGAGCTTGCAGATCCTTTCCAGTACTGTGATGTCGTTACAACCACAACGTGAGTATCGCGGAATGTTATTTTTACGAAGAAACATTTACAGAATGTTTGTAGACACAAGACCCTCCGTGGGCCTCGTGCTGGTTTGATTTTCTTCCGGAAGGACACTGACAAGGCGAAGGACCTGGAGAAGCGCGTCAATGATGCAGTATTCCCCGCCTGCCAGGGTGGTCCCCACAACAATGTAATTTTCAAGCAACTGGCTTCGGATTGCTGTCTCATTGCGTAGACCATCGCAGGTATCGCAACGGCGCTTCTGCAGGCCTGCCAGCCTACGTGGAAGGCGTACGCTAAGCAGGTCATTATCAATGCTCAAACTCTCGGCAAGGAGCTCGTTGCACACGGGTACAAGCTGCAGACTCAGGGTACTGACAATCACCTCGTACTTTGGGACCTCCGGCCGCTCGGTTTGACTGGTAGCAAGCTAGAGAAGCTTTGCGACCTTGTCGGCATTACTATCAATAGTGCGTCCTGTTTCACTGATCCATGATTCATTCCTCACGTTTGATCGTCTCGCTCCATTCGTGACCCAGAGAATGCCGTTTCGGGTGATGCGTCCGCTCAGGTGCCAGGTGGAATTCGGCTGGGCACGTCAGCGTTGACATCGCGCAACATGCTTGAAGCAGATATCAAGGTCGTCGCTGACTTCCTACATCGCGCGGTGCAGCTCGCGCTCGTGTTGCAGAAGGAGGCGGGCAGCAAGCTGCTCAAGGACTTTGTGCGTGTTGCGACATTCGAAGACGAGGGTCGCGAGGGCGCCCGTCTTGTCCGCGAGTTGCGCACGGAGGTGCGGGCGTTCGCGCGGCGGTGGCCTGTTCCCGGCGTGGATGTGACGACGCTCAAGCGGCCTGCGGGCATCGAGGAGGATGACTAGGCTGTTGTGCGGGAGGCTAGTAGGGTGGTAGAAGTGACGCGATGCTCATGTGGGGTGCGCGGAGCGTTCTTGGTATCCTTTAGACTCGTAGAGTACCGTAGGCGGACGTTCAACATTGTCCAGCCGACCCGGGCATTTCAACATTGTCTGGCTATTAGATGTATACTAAATACCTTCCTCAGGTGTATTCATATCATCCCATTTTCTGCACGGTCCGCGTGCAATGTCCGCGATTATTGTTATGAAGAGAAACGACATAGCATCATGTGGACACTGATATTCATTATTTCAGATCGCATATGATGGTCTTTAAACACCCGATCCATGGGCGGTAAGTAGTGACTCCAATGTTGCATGTTCTTCATATTGATGAAGCTGACAAGCTATTCTCGGGCCAGACTCACTTGAGTCTTATTCTACTGCTCTACTGCTCCGCGTTGAGTGCGTGACCCAGTTGAGTGATCATTCCACAATGATGAAGCCAAAGAGAAAGCGACCCACTGGCCTCAAGAATCGGCGTCTATTGATTCTCCAGTTAGCGACCAACCACATGCCTGTATGTTCGCTGCCCGCATCGAGTCTAGAACTTACCATGAAGGAAAGAACATGAAGAGCGGATAGGCTCGAAGGAAATACTTCCTCTGAGTCCTGATCGCCCAAAAGATAGTTACGTGCCACCAATCTGTCTCCGCGTCTCGACGGATCTCGACTGACTTGGGCGCAACCCATGGTCTATCGAGTGCACTGTATGTAAGACCCTTGTTGTGGACGAATCTGTCGCTGCTGATATCTATTAAGGTTCACAGTGCAGGGAAGCGTCACTGCAGGTTTCTGTGGCCACAGAAGACGGCGTTGATCTAGGTTTCAATCGTGTGTACGGCATGCCTGTAGAGGTCATGGAAATCATCTAGTGAGTGTCATGCTCACTTGCGATTACGTCTTTGACACTTACACACATGGAAACGAGACCAGGAAGAGCAGGCACAAAGTTACCTGAAACCCGCCGATCGAGTCATATACGTGGTACAGTTTCCTGTGAACAGACTCTGTGCAGGCTCAATTGTGACTGAGTCCTCAGGCTACTAGTCCTGTGGCCCAAAACCTGAGGCATGCCAGTCTGCCTCGCTTTGCCCGATTTTCGATTGATGTTGACTTTGCCATTGCCTTCATCCATCTTTATCTATGCCTTCATCTTCTTGTCTTCGACCTCGCACTACCCGATACCGCATGAACTACAGTGAGTTATTGGCGTAGCGAAGTACTGTATCCAAATTTAAAGTTAGATATTCGGTCACGAAACAAATAATCTCTTATCTTTATCGTGCGTTGTGTCGCAATTCCTACTTATAGAATTCCCCTGTGTGAATTAGAATATCTAGCTCTGTCACAACCTCTCAAATACTTTGAGAGTGAGTCTGAGATGATGATCGTCGTGTGGCGTTGGTGTTGTGGCTGCGCTTGACGAAAGGCGCCAGCCTATTGTCCAAGCTGTTGAATTTGTACCTCATCTCAACGCGTGGACTTGTCAACTGTCCGCTTGCTGGAACGCAGATGAGTCTTCATCACGCGGATAGGGATTTCATGATGTATTCTTTGGCCTGGTCGCTGTCGCACCTGCTATTTACGAGCCGAGTCTCCAGTTGCGCTTGGCTTTAAGGGTGACGAACCTTCCGATGCTTAGAACGGACGGTCTGTGCATCGTCGCAGTAACCTAATGTCAGCTTACTCCCGTTGTTATACCCGGCTCGTTTGAGCCACTATTTTTGCAGGACAAATGGGCATGGCCACCGCCACCTTTTTGTTTCGACCTTTCGGGGCCTATTGTGTGCCGTGCCAGCCGCCCATTGTTGTGTGAAGAACACGAGGCTCTCGGGCTTTGGCTTCGGACCACGGCTAACGCTATTGTCGACTACTCGCTTCCTGACCGTCGTCGTTATAAAAGATCTCCAGTCTTTGTGGCCTATCCCACATACACTCCCTCGCTCAGGCTTCTGAGGTTTCTCCTTCCTTTTCCTCACTTTCCTTCTGTCCCTCGTTGCGTTCTTGACCATGCTATACCAGCTGCCGCTCTCGCTGTTGGCTTTCCTTCCTCTTCTCTCTGTACGGGCTGCGCCCTACTGCACGCTGAGGCCATCGAGCGTTTCGTCTTCGTCACCTTCTACTAGCACCTCGGGCTCGAGTCCCACGTCCTCAGGCCCTTCCGGAAGTAGTGGGTCAAACAGTCCATCCAATGACCTAGTTGCCATGAGCTGGTTTACCGGCTGGAATGCCGCCTCTAATCCGCCCTTTACTCCCGACAACATTACCTGGTCGAAGTACAGCACGGTGGCGTATGCATTTGCGTAAGTACCCAACTTTGCCAGTCCTTTCGATGGCTAATAGTGAGCAGAACGACCACTCCGGATGTCAATACGGTGGCGCTGGAGGCGTCTGACGAGGTCCTTCTGCCCCAATTCGTCGATCTAGCTCATCAAAATGTGGGTTTTTACATTGATGTCGATGAATTTGACATTAAATGATAGTTCAGAATGTCAAGGCTGTCCTTACGATTGGTGGATGGACGGGCTCACAATACTTTTCCACTGCTGTCGCCACATCTGAGAACCGGACTGCGTTTGTCAATGCTGTTCTTGGGTTGGCGTCGAAGTACAACCTTGATGGTCTCGATTTTGAGTGCGCTAACTCCGTATACCATGCTGGCTCCTCTACTGATCCTTTCGTTTTCGCAGCTGGGAATACCCGGCCCAAACCGGCATAGGGTGTAACACCAACTCTCCTGACGATGCCGCCAACTTCCTCTCCTTCCTTCAAGCTCTCCGCGCTGCTGCGTCAAACCTCACACTATCTGCCGCTGTCGGCGATAAGCCATGGACGGGTTCTAACGGTTCGCCCTCAACTAACGTCTCCGCGTTCGCCGCATCCCTCGACTACATCGAGGTGATGAACTACGACGTCTGGGGCTCCTGGTCTCCTACTGTCGGACCCAACTCACCCCTCAATGACACCTGTGCACCGTCTGCCGACCAGCAGGGGTCCGCCGTGAGTGCCCTCGCCGCGTGGACCGCCGCAGGTTTCCCCGCAAACCAGATTGTGCTCGGCGTCGCGGGCTATGGACACAGCTTCGACGTACCGCAGGCGACCGCGTTCGCGAGCGGGAGCACGACCGAGCTCGCAGCGTATCCGTCGTTCGAGAAATCAGATCAGCCGCTTGGTGACAGCTGGGACTCTGACGCGCCTGCGGGCGTGGACCAGTGTGGGGCTGCCACTGGCGGTCCCTCCGGGATCTTTAACTATTGGGGTCTCATCGAAGAGGGCTTCCTCATGGATAATGGCACCGTCGCGCCGGGTATCGGGTATCGGTACGACAGCTGTAGCCAGACGGTGGGTGCTGTGCATTTTGGGGCGGTCGTATGAGGGCGCTGATATTGTCCTCCAATCCAGCCGTACGTCTACAAGCCGAGCACGCAGGTGATGGTATCGTTTGATAACACCGAGTCATTCGGTATGTTCCCCACTTCCGTTTGTAGATGAGCATATGGCTCACTGGTTATATAGCTGCCAAGGGCTCTTTCATCAAATCTTCCGGCATGCGCGGCTTTGCTATGTGGGATTCTGGAAGCGACTACGAGAATATGCTCATTGATTCTATCCGCACTGCTGCTGGTTTGTAGAGGGGACACTGGTGTATTTGTTTTCCATGTCTGTAGCCATACTGTACTCATGTTGTAGGTCACGGATGTTACGTTGGTCATCGTGTACGCCGGTGCCACGTTTATGTTTTAATGAATGAGAAAGCTTTTCGTGTGCATGAATTAGCATATAACTTTGGTAAATTTTGAAGAAACATCTGAGTGGGGCGTATTTCTCCCCAGGCTATTCGTTGAAGTCTACAGCGCTATGGTGGTAAGATTATCCTTCAATTCTTTGAGACAGGATACTTTGACGACCTGTTCCGTTGCAAGTTTGTACCAGGGCTTGATGTTGGGCCGCCGATATTCCGGAAGCAACTGAAAGAGCAAAAATGCAGTGTACTCTGAGTCGTTCGGCTCAATCGCGCCCTCGTTCTCGTTCGCTGCCTCGGAGTCATCCCGGAGATAGTCTAGAACTCCTACAGCCCAATTATACATGGACATGACCCCCGGTGGGAACGGGTAACATTGGTCCTCGAGTTTGGAGGGTATCTCAACCTTGACTTTCCCCACGGCCTGCCCAGGATGCTCGAGAGCGACGTACTTGGGCTGTTTAGCCCGGAAAGTGAATAGACTGTCGTGCATCTCCTTATCGATAGGGTCGCTAGAGAGTTTCATCGGTACGAGCAGGACCTTGAGACGCAAACCTTTGTTCGTTAAGATCGTCTCGTCATACCCATAGTCGAGGGGTGCTCTGAAGTTATCTGGGTTATTGTCAAGGAAATTGAACAGCAGAGGCGGATAACAGCTGGGGGATGAGGCGAGTCCTCTGCTGAATTTGGAGCAGCGTCCTTTCCAGGCGTGGATGTCCCACCCACTGTAGCGGCGCACGATGGCCTCCATCAGTCTAGAGAATGCCACGTCGCCCTCGCCGTATTGGATATCCAGGCTGATGTCAAAGATACCAATCAGTGAATATGCCATGTCCTCAACTTTGGTCGTGCGCCGTTTCGACGCCCACCCCATGCGTTCCGCTACCCTCTGCATCCCAGGAACGAAGTGACAGATCTCGCTGTCGGATATGCCTGTGATGGTGGACACCTTTGCAAGGATGTTCGTTGGGTCAGCTAGAACTTTGTCGTTGTCTCCGTCTACAAGCGGCGCCCAGTCCCTGCCGAAAAACTTGGTTCTGCGAGGCCCAAGCAGCTCTTGGAGCGTCCATCCTCGCGTGAACCAGGGGTCGCTTCCCATATCGTCAGGGCTGGAAGACGTGCCAAGGTGAGTAATGCAGATGGATGCGTTCCGGTACCACCAAAACATTGAGCGGATGGCTTCATCGAGCTCTGCGCTGCTCCTCTTATCGATGCAACATGTATCCGACCACGCAAACGGACAATCGTACTCTTTTGCCTTTGTGCAGAATGCGACAAGTTTGTCGTATCCGGGCCCGGAGAGTCTGTTTTGGGTCTGAATGGTTCCCTGTCGGTTGCGAGAAATGCGTCAGACACAACGCGAGTTAATGCTTGCTTACGGTTGCGCATACGCTCACCTCAGGATCTGGACCAGTTCCTGGAGCTCGAGCTCCCTGCTCGGACATATCCTGGAATGTAGGCTCCCCTCTGCTCAGCCATCGGTGCGACAATATCGCATATCGCACTGTCTCGTGCATCTCTATCGGTGGGTATTTGAGTGCCTCGAACATGGGACGATAGTATTCCTTTACATCGTCTCTCGTCACTACCTTCATTTCATCGACTTTGATCAAACGGGCGGGAACCCGGTTCGCGATGTACTCATCAAGTATGTATATGAGGCCTTCGGATGACATGTTAAATGATCCTGTAAATGGTTGAATTACTGGGTATTCGGGTCAGTATGATACTACTATCCGACGGAACGATCGCAGCGACCCAAGATGATTCCGTGCCCAGATATGTTCGAATCGGTTACGCGTGCACGCCTAGGTTCAAAATCATATCACTGCAGGACTCATGCCGATACCCACCACAAAGTTGAATCAAGCTCTCAATGATGGGGACTAACCTTGAGTGAGTTCAAAAGTGCTCAAAAGTGCTCATCGATCAGTCTCTTGTGAACAGAGTAAATACTTCAGCCTTCACTCTTGCAGGCTTCGGATATCCGTATCCGATCTGTCAATTATGGAGGCCGCCTACACAACCTCGCAAATTTCCCCTTTACAGAGCATGCAAAACGCGACTATTTTTCGGTAGAACGACCAGTAGATACATACACAGGTATGCAAGAATGTATAGTAAACATAGAATAGCTGCACAGAATAAGTACCAATGAGATATGCGTCGACAACGATGATAGAGTATGCCCGTGTGTGAATGCAAGGAGAACAACCAAAGACCCATAAAATGAAATCGAAACAAAAATGCAGCGCCTTCCACGAGCGGGTATATATCAACTCGAATCAAACCAGCTCAGTCAAAAGCGACCGCGAGACGGCAGCGGCGGGCCATTGCTCAGCTCAACTCCGACTTTCTGGACGACGTGCATCCCAAGCGGCTCAAGGGCCTCTTGCCACACGCGCGTGCGGCGGCGTCCCTCGAAGATGCTCATCTGGCGCTCCCCGACCTCGCCCTCGGGCCCGAACACGAACACGCGGTCCGCAGCCCACGGGGCCTCCCCATACGCGAAAGTAAACCAGCGCGACTGCACCGCATCACGCACGCGTGCGTACGAATACTCGTCCACACCGTGCACGCCCCAGTCGTCCGCGAAGCCGCTGTCTGTCGACAGCGATCCCTCGTCATCCGAGTCGTCATCCGCGTCGAACGACTCGGGCATGAAGTCTGCTGCTGAGGACGTCGGGGAATATGCAGAGGTAGGTGACAGCGACGACGCGGGGAGGGGGACATTGTCGAAGAGGTAAATGAGGTCCACCGCGTGGTGCGGCACGCCGCGCGCGGGACCCTCCTGGTCGAATACGTAGCGCCAGACGCCCTTGCCACCGCGCTCCTGCCGCGCGCGAGTGGCGACGCACTCGGTCGGCCACGCGAAGCGCGCGTCATTGATGAGCTCAAGTACGTGAGTATGAAGCTCGTCTGCAGGTATGTGCGAATGGATGTCGTACGCTCGCAGGAGCGTGTTGGCCTTCGTGAGCGACTGACACACCGCACGCACGCGCCGCTCGACGGCTGACCCGGTCCAAAGCGACGCAGGAAACTCCCAAAGCAACGACTCGTCACTGCAGTCGCCGATCATGATCGGCTGCTGGCTTGTGTGTGCCTGTCGTACGCGCGAACGCGAACGGGAGGCAGCGCGGAGGTGGTTATGACCCTGCAACCAGTGTGAGTGTCGTAGGCTGTCGGTCCCCGCGTGGTCGTCGTGCGGTATATGATGGTGATGATGGTGCCGTTCTGGCGCCTCATCGCCAAGCAAGGAGCCGGTGAAGTGTTTGCAGAAGAAGACACCGTCATTCGTGGCTCTCACGTTTGGACCCAGGGCAACGAGCTTCTCGGGCTCGACCGCGCGCAGGTCCTCGACGGAGTGGGCGCCAAGCGCAGACATGGTTCGCGACAGCTGCCAGCCCGCTGAGGCCACGCTGGGCACTTCGAGGTCCATGATGGCGCTCTGGATGATGGACCGCTGGAAGAGGGGGTTCTTTTCGTTCGCAGCGGAATGCAGATGGCACAGAATATCGGCAGCACCCGTGGACTCGCCGAAAAGGGTAATGTTTGATGGGTCGCCGCCGAAGGCTGTAATGAAACGATGAATCCACTCCAGGGCTCTCCGTTGGTCACGGAGGCCTGGAAACAAAGTCAGAACAGTGACGGGCGTAAGATACAAGAAGGGAGAGCGATGTACCATAATTACCAACCCCCTCGTCACCTGCAGCCTTATTGTCGTCGCGCAAAGCGGGACTGGCCGCGAAGCCAAGAAGGCCAAGTCGGTAACTGGAGAATGGAGGCGTCAGCATCTAGCACCACAGCGCTTATGGACTCCGGGGACACGTACTTGAAGGACACCATGATGACAGGTTTTCCCATCTGCATACTCTTCTGCACGAGGGCACCACCATCATATACCCAACTGGACCCTGAGCCGCGATTTGCGCCCCTGAAGGCTTGTAAATACTTGTCTCTAGGCATAATTACAGTGCATAAACTCACCCATGTATCCATAGCATGACGGGCAACCTGGACGTCGCGGTGGCATCCCCTGGGCATGTGATGTTGAGATTGAGACAGTCAAACTCATTTTGTTTCAAGACTTGATGAGGGAGAGCATCCTCAGGCAGGCCAAAGAGCTCAGCCTCAGCGCCCCTATAACGATGCTGCGGGCATATAGGACTACAGGGATAGGGGATCAGTTTCGCATACAGCCGGTCAAATGCTGCATATAATACTGACCCGTAATGACTGGCGTCGGTCTGTGGGGGATATGATGTGCACAAGGCAGACTGACGAAAACGGGCGGGTATGGTAGCATATTTGATTCCGCGGAACTGGTGAACAGGCGTTTCCGGAGTTGATGCGGGGTGGACGAGCCCAGTAAAGGTAGTCGCAAGCTCCTCATGGAGGACGACAGGCTCCTCCGTTGAGGTGAATTTTGCTATCATCGTTCAGAAGAGAAGGGGGCAGGGAGGGCACGGTGCAGAATGCGAAGCGAGTCGCCAGGATGGGAGGGAGGAGGAGGGGGATGGGGAGAATGGTGGAGGCCCATGGATCGCGCCTGGCTTTGTATGGAGCGGCGAGGACGTTGCTGGGCGTGCGCACATCGATCCGTCCGAAAGGGGGCAGGCAGAAAACTCGACGGGTGTGCCAGAACAGGCAGGCCCCGCAGTCCCCAGCGTCCTTCTCGGTCCCCGGCGCAGCCCCATTCAGTAACCTCGCGCGGCGATTGCCGGGAGACTGCCAAATCGGGCGCGCCGAACGCACTGGAACCCGCCTGAAATGAACATGGGACCACGGCGACGCACCTGGCCTCGCTCTGACATCAGCATGACGAGCCTTGTGCCCGCCGGGGACACCACTCGCCACAAGGGCAGCAGGCTGCGCCTGAACGATGTGCGCGTGCGCGATCCCGACTTCGCCCGGGCCCATTCAGTTTCCCGCGATGCAATCCGCAGTTGTCACTCGCAACAGGTGCGCTCTGAAGTCCAGACCACACACATTAACAATCGAAACAGCACGGCGTAAACAAAGGGCACGTACTGCACGCTATCGCAGGCCTCCTGCTCAAGCAATTTTGGCGAAGCGAGCCGCACGGCCAATGACTTCCGGCGCATACCCATCCGCGGACGTGGACCAGCTTCTCTGATACGTACAGTCGAGGTCCTCTGCAATCCGATAAGGTCAGGCGTGGCTCCTGATGCCGCTGCCAGCGGTGGAGGCTGTACGGACTGCCAACCGAGCAGCTCCCTCAACCGAACTGGGTGCGGCAATCTGCATTGTGGAAGAAGTCTCCTTCGCCCGGGGGTTTTCTCTGCGTGGACAAGGTTAACATTAGCTCACAAGACACAGTGTTGCTCTCATGACGACAGCGCGGGGCGCGGACGGAGCATGTACCCACAACTACAATAGCTCGTGCACGTCGGTCGCAATACTCTAGAGACCATCCGCATTTTGCTTGTTACGGTACATGGCTCTTACAACGGTATAGGAGAGCAACCCAGAACCATAGTATGTCGCATGCTCTGCAGCCCTGTGTGCATGCAGTGATTGTCAGAAAAAGTCCCGGAGATGGGTCCGCAGCAGGTCACTCACCTCCCGTCAACTGATGGTGCGATGGCCCCAGCTTCCAGACGTAACAGGCGCCCCATAACGTATCACCGCGGACTTTTTAGTTCAGTTGCATACCATGCGCTCAGGGCCCGAGCACCCTCTTCGACAAGGACACGGGAGGCGAACGAACACCATACACTTGCATTGATCGCTCAGCTGACCTTGGCGTCCCAGCAGAGCGTATTATGAATCGTAAAGCTTATGTGGACTAGAATGACTGACGTGTCAGCCGAAGATCACCCCCAACAAGCAACAATCTCACCTCACATCAACCCGACAGACGGCTGCTAATCGCAATCTTTTCAGCTTCGAGTAACCATCGCTCACGACATAAACGTAAATCGTTCACGGAACTCGTACGACAATATACATACATGTCATGCAAGGAACGGCACAATTACCTCAAGATAAAGCGTCTTACCTACAGTAGCCGTCGTTGTATCCGTATCGAGAAGATGGGTCGTGCAGGGAGCTGTCGATGAAACATTGCAGAGAACACTTCGACAATTCAACGAACACGGATTTGACAGATTCGATTCCCCGAGTAACAAGTGCTCGAGTGGATCCCTTTCGCCGTCCGGGTTCTTCCGAGTATATGCCGTACGGGTCGTGTACACTGCGCAGAAGCACGGCGATAGCAACGAGGGGTTCATTGGAATCAAAGGGATGTCATGAGACGAGACGGCATGAAGACAATGAATGGTATATGCCTATGAATGGATACAAGAATAGCAAGACAACAGAGGGCTTTATAGTTAGAAGACGCACCAAAAAGCTAGATGGTGAGCACAAACGGCCACATGCGTAATACAGTGCTGTATATGCGACGAACAGTTCACAGATTATTTTTGGTGCTTCAATGAACACAAGCACAGGATATCTGTGCATACAATTGCATATAGATATGGCATGTTACAGACCGTAACATCATACTTGGCGGGAGTAAGTGTCAAAATTAAGGACGCACCGAACCAAGCCAAGGTCTACCGCGAACCCGCACAGCATGGATCTCCACGATCCCGCAGGGGTGGCAGAGCCAGTAGTCCGCAAGGACCTCAGACAGATACCGACAACAACACGTGCTACGTCCCGCACAGCGCGAAGTCGGACGCACAGACTCGGATTCGAGGGGGTCGAACAGAGCGGGCACAATCGCAGGAACGGCCGCTATATATCGCACAGAGGGCGCAAGCTCCACTCCCGCGTAAGCCCCGTCCGCACATCATGCCGTGCGGACGGGGGTACACGATTCTGGGGTGCGGACGGCTCGCATGCGGCGGGCGGTGCGAAGCGTGGCGTGACCCGTTCAAGCTCTAAGTGAGTACCGCCGTAGCCACGGGGAACGAGGACGCGACGAGAGATGAATCAGATAGCGAGGGGCATCGCATAGAGGTGGAGCAGTGTGGTAATCTTCCTAGCTGGGACGCCTGCTTATCGCACCCTCGTTCGGCTCTTACATGCAACTTGTAGGGAGATGACGAACGACGGCGCTGTTGGAAGCAAGCCAAAGCGAGGGCGGTGGGGCGGGCGACGTATGCGACTAGGATGACAGGCTCATGTGGGCAAGGACAATGAACATGACCGCAGGAAGAGAGCAACTCGAGTGGCTCATCGACATCGATCCATCGCGACGGGCATGGGTGTGATGTGACGCGCATGTCACATTACATCACATCACACTCATAACACAGAGGACCGAGCCACAATTCAAAGGCAGTCGTACCAAAGGCTCATGGATGAATACGTAGCTGGTTTTGACAGTAGGCTAGGAGAAGTAGAACTTCATACTGAGAATTTCTGGAACTGGATATCTTCAAGGAGCTAGCTATCAAGAGTCGGTTAACAATTTGCGCATGCAGCGTCAATACAAAAATTGGGATTACTTCAGACGCTGCCCCAGCACCCAGCATAAAGCATGCTACCGATTGCTGAATACCAACCACCGCAGACCCTCCAAAATATCAGCAGCGCTTGCCAACAGTACTGGTTGTTTGCTTTGTAAAGGGCGAACAGGTGATCTGCCGCCGGACCCTTCTGTCAGAGTGACAGAAGATAACACATAGGCGATATTCTGGAGATGACACGTACTAACCCTGTCCCATCCCCGTACTCTCCCTCTTCTCCCTCAGCGCACGCTCAAGCGCCTCGAACGTGTTCATGCTCACGTCGCGCGACGACTGGGGCTTCATTGATTTCTTCTTCGTGCGCTGTATGTCTGCAGGCCACTCTTCTTCTGACACGCCTTTTGCATCGAGCGCAACACGCAGGGCGTCGACAGCATGAGTGTAGTCTTCACGTGCCGCTGTATACAAATCGTACACGCAGATCGCGCATCCGGACATGCAGCATTCTAGTCGGGCATTATATAAATGAGAAGATACTCAGTATCCGATACCACGCTTCCGAATGCAAAATCAAACTCACCATCGGACTGAGGCTCTTTCGGCTCCTCGGGAAGTACGAGGCCACGAAACATCCTAGGCCCATGTTTCTTCTTGTCTACAATCCCTCTCGCCTGGGAAACGGCTGAATCCCTCTGCTCCATTAGCGCGCCTCTATGGGCACCAAACGCCTCTTTCCCGCGCAGCGATCGCTCGAGTCGCCTCCACCGCTCCGATAGATTCTGGCCGCCCCGTACGCCGTTCTTCTTGCGCTGTATTAAATGGTGGGTGTCAGGCACGTCCGAACGCGGTGTAGTCGACTCTGGAATGAATGTAGGTGCGAGAGTATCGGGTATGCGTGTAAGGGATGTCGGCGCGAGCGGAGCGACCGATGCAGGTGTCGCCAATGTTGGTATACCATTCAAGAAGCTCCGTCGCCCCAGTCTAGTCATGTATATCATCGTAGCCCGAGCAGGTACTCCATTTCCGGGATATCCGTGGGCGAGCAGTATGGCTCTAGTTGCAAACGACTGTGTAGCGTTCATCCACCAACGTACACCATGTCGTGGAATGCGGGCAAGTTGTAGTCGGGCGCTTACTCAACACGCGCTCATTTACGAATCGGGGCGCGTCCCTTAGCGCCCGCCTCCTTGGCTGGAGACGACGATGACCGCCTCGTCGTCGAATACAGCGTTCAAGACGTTCTCGCTAGCGAATGATGTTGTCGAAATCTCTCCGCAAGATGAGATTTACAAGTTTGATCCCGAGGCGAACCGGAGGCTGAATCGAGAGCAACCATGGGCTCGTGAGTGCGTATCGATCCTTTCTTCGTAGACTGTATGTTGGAAGAGCGCGGGTGGAGGGCGATTTGGAATATGGTCAGAATCTATAGAGGAGAATGAAGTTCGCACAATTTGCTGGATGGTGAAGGGGATGCCGCCACACTCCAACTGTAGTGCTCGAGTCCTTCAGTGGCGAATGCTGACTTGCCTGCAGTCCGCATTATTTCAGGTCCTGCAAAATTTCCGCAGTTGCTCTAATTAAGATGGTATGTCTTGGTCTCAGATATCCTCTAAGTCTCTGTCCATGCCGCTCGCCTCGCCTTGATATATGCGACGGCAGTACAGCATGAATCACGTCACTGTTCATTGTCGTATTCAAATGTCTACCACACGGGCCATCTGCGGACCAAACTTATGTTGGCCTAATTGCTGCTCGAACTGTTCAGCAGATCGCTGTTCTTGTTGCCGAAGGTAGTGCTAAACTACAGCTACCCCTGTCTTGGAAGTAATTTTATTCCAATTAACGTGATTGACTTGCAAGATCGTGCATTCTGGATGAACCATATTTCTCACATTGTATCCCTGAATTTTGGATATACAGGTCATCCACGCGCGATCGGGTGTCCCACACGAAATCATGGGTCTCATGCAAGGCAAAGTAGTTGACCGCTCGCTTGTCATCATCGACTCGTTCGCTTTGCCTGTCCAAGGGACCGAGACTCGCGTCAACGCCCAGAACGAAGCAAACGAGTATATGGTGCAGTTTATACAAGGCAGCGAACGAGTGCGTTACCACTTCTTTCCTCCTATCCACACCACGTTCATCTCACTCAATCAACACGCGCAGGTCGGCCGGCTTGAAAACGCTGTAGGGTGGTACCACTCGCACCCGGGCTACGGGTGCTGGCTCTCTGGGATCGATGTCGATACACAGATGACGAACCAGAAATACCAAGACCCCTTCGTTGCGGTCGTAATCGACCCAAACCGCACGATCTCCGCCGGCAAAGTCGACATCGGTGCGTTTCGCACGTACCCCGAGTCGTACACCCCACCCGATGCGGCGTCGTCCGAGTACCAGTCCATCCCACTAAACAAGATCGAGGACTTTGGTGTGCACGCCAACCAGTACTACCCACTTGAAGTGCAGATCTTTAAAAGCAGCTTGGATGCGGAGCTGTTGGGTCTATTGTGGAACAAGTATTGGGTGAACACGCTCAGCCAGAGCGCGCTCATTTCGGTAAGCTTGGCTCGCATAATATGTAATGCGGCACAATTTACATCGCTTCAAGAATCGTGCGTATGCTGCATCCCAGTTGGCGGATCTTGCACAGAAGCTTGTGAAGGCGCAATCTTTCGTGCCCAGTTCCAAGGCTCCACCACCGGCGCTGAAGGATGACAAGAACGCGAAGGTACTTGTTCTTTTGTGCGAAGGGAATGTGATGCTTAATTTATGCGCACCACAGAAAGAGGAGAAGAAGAGAGAGGATCAGAATCAGTTGTTGAAAGGCGTCCGTGATAGGTTGGCATCTACTTTTTGTCCTTCACCCAGCGGTGTGCTGAATGAGCTGGTCACAGCGACAAAATCGCGACAGAGGCGCAGCACGGATTGATTTCGCAAGTGCTCAAAGACCTGATTTTCTCGATGCGTCTGCAGGACGGCGCGAAGTCGGAGCTAACAGACGTCATGGACACCGCTATGGCGATCGGATAGACAGTGCAGTGGCGGATGTGCAGTCCGAGTCTAGAGGTGTATTGTAAGTGTCTTGTGCGAAGCTGTTTGTGTGTACGCGCTGTTATCTCGTTTCATTACGAATATCACATTCTCGTAGAATCAATGTATCATATCCCGCCAATCAATTCAGCTTCCAAATGTACTGGACTTAGGAAACTGCCAAACGGGAAGCCGCCACGGCGAAAGCTATTGCAGTGCATCTGCGTGTATGCCCATCTGTACACATCTGTGGTCTGTCCTGAAGTGACTACTCGATTACTATTAATATATGAATAAACAAAGTGTGTAAAGTGTCTCCTGGAATCACAGCTCGTCCTCGCCGAATGGATCCCACTCTTCCTCTGGCACACTCCCCACCCACTGCTTCCCCCTCAAGGCCTCACATACTTCCCTCGCGCGCTCGCGCTCGCTCTCCTCGTCCGCACCCTCATCCACCTCATCCGCAAAAAGCTCGTCCCCAAGCACCTCGTCGCTCTCCTCCCCATCGCTCATGTCTGCAAGCCCGCAGCGCGTGAGCCGCTCGAGCCGCCTCGACGCACGCGCCACGCGGCGCGCGAGTGCGGGATGCGCCGGTGCCGGGGTTTCCAGCGGCAGCTCGAATAGCGCGAGACCGACGAGCGACACGCTCGAGGACCGTCGTGAAGACTGTGAGAGCGGGGACGACGCGGTGTACGCGGAGCGCGACGAGGCGGAGGATAGGTGCGGGAGCGTCGCGGGGCTAGACACAGGCGAGGATGGGGGGAGCGAGGCGGTGTGGGCGGCGCGCCGGAAGGGGGAGCTGTAAAACGGATTCGCACTCATGGAGGGTCGGGCGGTGGAAGGGGAGAAGGGGGATGACGTGGAGCGTCGGAGAGCGCGTTCGCGATCGGCTTCGAGCGTGAGGAAGCGGGAGAAGGCGTCGCGGTCGTTCCATCGTTTGAGCCGTTGGACATCGCTGTCCTTCTCGTCCTCGAATATCTCTTCAGGGGTTGCGTCGGGTTCCGGGGCGTCCGCATGGCGATTGTCTGTAGGAATCAGATGCGCAATGCGGATCGCACCACGCGTGCTACCTCGCCATCGAAACACGAATGGCTGGTTTCCGATACCCTTGCGAGGCGGGACGCGTGCAGTGTTAATAGTGATATGCACTGACACGCCGGGGAGGTGGCGCTATAAACCGAATAACTTCAGCTAACAGGTCACAAAAGAGATATTGTGGGGTACAAACATAGACAATTCCTTTCTCCAGTTCAGGACCATTGGGCCAAACATGTCGCACGGTGTAGTCGTCCTCCCCCTCCCATCTCCAGCCTGCGTCATCGTCATCATCGTCTTCAAAACCCGTTTCTAAAACATCCAGGGTACTGCTTGTGCTTGAACTACCAAGCATGGTCGCATGGTAGAGACTCGAGTGTTCCTGTTCATACAGGTCGGGGAAGAGCTTACGATCGCGCACGCTTGAAAGGCGTACGCATGTTTTCCCCGCATGCGGCTTAATTACCCCAGGCTTATATCCGCCTCGATACAGCGAGATATCCTCGCGCACCTCAAAGAAATGACCAGGCCATTCAGGCGGGATGTGGTCGCTGACGCGCGGGCAGGAGACGGACGGCTCGCCGAGTTTTCCCTTTCCTTTGTCTCGCCCTGCTTGCCGATTCAGCGGCGCATTCTCCGCATCGCCCTTCGCAGCAGCAGACGCGAAGGGTGCCTTTAATCGCTCGCTGCGACGATGCCTAGTCGGCCTCGTGGAGCCTGGCGGTTTCGACCAGCGCGCGTCGGTCGCGAAGAGAAAGAGGATCAGCTTGTGTAGGTGTCTGAATGTGTAGTTGGTCGGCACTTGCGCTATCCTGTGTACGCCATCAAGATCTAATGGCGAGTCACGGACCGTCCTCTTTCCTTTGGGATCTTCGTAGACAAGCTGGAAGCGCAGAGCCAAGTGTTTCGAGAAGCCGATCTCGCGGGGAAGCGTCAGCGCCGCGAGGGTGCGCTTGAGGCCAAATGGATTGGAGGGCGAGTCTGATGGGATAGAATAAGCACACGACGAGTTGTAGGGCGTGAATAACGAGGCGGGAGAACTCTGCGGGCGTGTCGGGCTGCTCACGTTCGCGTAGAGCCGCACACGCTTGTACGGCGAAGGCGTCGATGAGGCAGACGGGTCGTCGACATTTCTGGCACGTTTGAACATCTCCGGAGAGAGACGAATGCGTTGTTGGCCTGGGTAGCGACAGCACAAAGGAAAGGAGAAATGTGACTAATCTAATCAAACGCGTCCCTCGATGCAATTCGGATGGATCAACAAACCTTGCGGTCACGTGGGCGCGATATGATCATTCGAATTCAATGGATGCTGTCAATAACCTCGACTTCTCCTGCGTGCGGCCTTCGCTGGCGGACGGTAGAACTCTACGCGATTCTCGGATGTCTTTGGATTATGGAAAGACGGCCCAGTCAAGAGGCAACTCAAAAAGCAGTGGCTCACATCTCAATGGCATCACGGGACCGCGACGCGACGCGTCTGGACCGCAAGGAAGGATTCTGCGAGGTCAGAGGAAAGACTGGAAATCAGATGTTTGAACAAGAGCGGATTATGCTCGTCATTCTCCCATATATGCATTAAGGAAAGCATTGGGCGATCGAAATACGGAGCAAGACGCACAATCCTGCCAATCGCAGAGCTCAAAGTGTTTCGCATCACGAAGACAAGATCCTTTCCCGAGTCTCTCTAGAGCAGAGGACACAGACAAGACATCTTAAAATCTAGGTAGGAGACGTAATAATACAACACGCTCGCACTACTTTACGTCCAACTTAGATCTTCGCACGCAAGGGCCTACTAACAATTACACGTTTCTCATCTGTATAAGGGGGGTATCGGAACTCCATCATCGGCTCCTCACTGAACAAATCCGACGTCAGATGCAGGCCCAGTTCAATGCGAAGAGGCAAGCTCACACGAAGGGAACATCCACGTAGCCCCGATGATGGGTGAATGTGTCAAAACTCGCCTTGCCTGCCCAGCTTCCGTCTGGAAGGAGATCAGTTTTCTTCAGGAATCTTGAATAAGACATTCTGCGGAGGTACTCACATCCAGAACTTCCGATGCCACCGAACGGGTTTTCAAGCGCTGTCCACAAGAAACGGTCGATCCACGAATGGAGATCATTCGCAGGAGAGTACGCACCAGCCAGATGACTGTATGTGTCATTGAGTGTTAGTGCACCGCTCTCTGTTCTCTCCATAACTGCAACCGAATATGGCATTACTGCAAAGCCCTTTATTGTCAAATATCATCCGCACCTGTCTGCTTGACATCGGGGTTGTTGGAGAAGAGATAGAGTACCAGTGGCTTCGGCCTAAAGCAAAAATCAACATACGTCTAGGCTATGCCGAAAACCACGTGCGCACCGTCCTCGAATAATCTCGATGGCCTCGTCAACGTTCTGAACAGGAATTATTGGAAGTATGGGGGCGAACAGTTCCCTGCATTTCAATATCGCTGACAATGAGTTCAACAGATGAAAAAAATAATGATGATACACACTCTTCCATCAGCGAGTCATCCATCCTCACATTGTTAACAATAGTGGGAGCTATCCTCTTCTCGCCATCAAAATACCCGCCGATAACGATATCGCCCTTTGTGCGAGAGAGCAACCCTCGGATGCGCGCATGATGTGCGGGGTTGATGATGTTGCCCCAATGCGAGCCCTCATGGAACGGTCCTTCCGGCCAGAATGTCTTATACACGCGAAGAAGTGCAGCCACAAATGCATCTTGCTTCGCGCGCGGAACGTACACATGGTCTGGCGACACGCACAACTGCGAGAAACGAAGATCCCAAACCAAATTACCAAAACGTCCACCAAAGCAGCCCATGACCACCTTACCTGACCAGAATTCTGCGCCTTCCCATATAGGACCCGCTTCGCAGCGAGTTCGATATCTGTATCCTCCGCAATAATTACGGGCGACTTTCCCCCAAGCTCCAGCGTCACCGGCGTGACATGCTTCGCTGCCGCCTCCGCGACGACGCGGCCCGTCCTCTCGCTGCCCGTGAAGAAAATGTGCGCCCATCGCTTCTCAAGCATGCGTGTCGTCTCGCGCACGCCGCCGTTCACGTAGGCGTACGCAGTGGGGTCGAGGTACTTGGGGAGAAGCGCAGCAAGCAGCGTCCCCATCGCCGGAACGAGCTCGGAGCCTTTGACGACGCACGTGCACCCCGCCGCGATCGCGCCCGCGAGCGGGCCAAGCAGGAGGACGACAGGGTAGTTCCACGGCCTGCGTCGAGTAGACCGGTAAGGCCCCTGCACTTCAAGGCATACACAGAACATACCCAATAATCAGCGACAATCCCTTCGGTTGTTTGTATACCGTGGGGTTCCACCCGCTGCGCCAGTCCTCAACCTCGCGCGGTTTCGTAGGTTGCGCCCATTCGTCAAGGTACTTCAGCTGGAAGAAATAGTGGTCTACCGTCGCGCTCATCTCGGTGTCTATCTCCTGCCGCGGCTTCCCGAGATCGTGAAGGAGGGCTTCCTCGAACGCAGGTGCGTTTTCCTGTAGGAGGCGGATTAGCTGCTTGAGCTGCTGACGACGATATTCAAGCGGCCGTGTCGTGCCTGCCTGGAACGTCTGCGACAGCCTGGTGTAGACCTTGGAGCAAAAGACATTCATGTCACTATCAGCTTGAGCCTTGCCATCAACGAGCGGATCCGTGCGCACCTCGTCAAAGCCGGTATCGCTGATGTACTCCAACTCGGAAGTGGCTGCCATTGTGCGGACTAGAGAATGTGCGAGGTTTTCTGGGCTGGATATACGGCCAGTGGGTTATGGTGGGTCGAGGAATTGTGCGGTCTCCCGTCCCAGCTATTATGGGCCTACGGCCGACGGGTGTGAACTGGGCGGCGGCCGTGCGAGTTTGACGACAAGGTGAGCGCGGCGTGGAAAGCGCCATCCCAAGCCACCGTGGTGCCAACATACAATCTGAGTGGTCTCGTACCCAGTTCGACACGTCCGGGCACGAGACCAAATATGAGGGGAGTGAATACTCTGACCGTTATACAGAATGCACTGAACGTCGATCGAGAGTCGGTGGCAACAGGATTGGTTCGATCGGAGTGACTACAACAGCATTAGGAAAATCGCGCCCAAGCGGCAGACCCTTACTTAGTACTTAGGGTGGATGATATTGAACTTATAAGGTGATGATTGACTTCTAGCTGAATCCATAGTGCATCTGTGAGTATATATTGTTATACAGATATAGCGAAATAGAAATGAAACAATGTCACTGTTAGCCTGAGCCCCACTGAGTAAATGAGTGACACATTTACTTGAAGTATCACTTCGACGTCAAGCCGGAGATCACTGCAGTTTGCAAACCCAAGTTACTCAGCAGCCTGAGTTCTCAGGATATGCGATCAATGGGGTTGGGAATGGAGGATCCTTTCACCAACCAGCAGCACTTAAGCACAGGTAAGCCCATCCGGCAGGAGGATGGAGCGAGTGCAGCGCAGAAAGGAACGGCCCTGGTGTCATCGCGCACGCCGACAGCGTTGACCACAATGGAGGGACATGTCTATGCAAGGAGCGGAGGTGACAAGGTGGTCCGGCCCCTGGCAGTATATGTGACTGAAAATCTCATCCAGCCGCATTTGTATGGAAATGCGCCGGGCCGGCGCACGGTCCACCGCGTGATGGTGAATGTCGTCCAGACATCGCCGGGCACAAAGTCGTGCACACGGTGCAGTGCGGAGCGGTCGCAAACCAAATTGTATCGTGGCGACGTCAAATACCAGTGATAGTACGTGAGCATGGCTGTGCTTCCGAAGGAACGGTAAGCATGACGGCGTTACACGTACGCGAGGGCACTGCCAAACAACGATGTGCATCGAGGTTAGTAACGCGATGCCAGCGAAGTCATAAATTTGCATGAAAATGAGGTCCCATAGCGCACACATTGAGTCTGCCGTCGACGAGCACGGAGTGGATGAGAGTGGTGGCAGACAGGCATAGGCAATGAATAGCACTGTGATGAGTGCGCAGAATAGTTACCAGAACAGCAGACATCATACTCCTTCGCAGTCGGAGAAACAATGTTATACGAGTCAAGCAGGGGAATGAGCAGTCAAGAATCGCAGCCACCCATGGTCCTATTCTCGGTGAAGATACAGATCTGATGATAGGAGGGTGAAGCGAGAAGGTGCGCGATTTGCTTTCTATGCCGTAAGAAGTCGTACGGTAAATATGGCGAGGCGCTTGCAAAGGCGCCTGAGTTCAGTTTGTTTTTTTCTTGGTGCGACTGATTTTTGCTCCTTGTGTTAGGCTTGCCTGATCCCGTAGACAAACTCCCAGATAAAAGGTGATTTCTAATTTCCACCATATGCGCTGCAGGAGCTGCCTACAGGTCGATAGCGGATGGTGCACGCGACTGACGAGATGGAATCTTGAAGCCGCTTTCCGAGCAAGGGACATGTAAATAAATGCCATCAGTTGCATATCATCAACGAGTCGCACAAAAATGCTCTTTTACTCCCGTAACGGATTGTTATATGTGCGAGGGGGGACAGCCATTTATAGAAGCTTCGCCAGCGCACCACGTAAATATGCGGAGGCATCCACTCCTCAAACTCCAACACACTGCGCATTCTATTCATTATCCGAATTAGCATAAATCAGGGGGGCGCAGTAAGAGAAGCAGGACGAGGATAATCAACCACCCCGTTGCGCATTTCCTCTGCAAAAATGTCAGCAATGTGCCACGCATAGCAGGAACAACCAGTGACACACCTGTTCATCATCGCATACTTGTGCACTTCCTCTTTCTTCAGGAACGCCGCACTGCGCCTGTCTGATCTCTCCTCCCTCGCGCTCTGCACGGCCGCAATGATCTCCTTCGCCAGCCTCTCCTCGAGCTTCATCCCCGGCTTCGACTCGCTGGCCTTCAGTATCCACTGTATCGCGTACCGCGTGCGCTGCTTCTCGCTCAGCGCCACGGGGTACACGACGGTCTTCCCCGCGTGTTTGTTGCTGATGCATCGCACCGCGGGCGCGACGTTTTCGATTGCCTTGCGCACTATGGGCAGCGGCTGCGCACGCGTCATCGTGTGGATGTGCAGCAGCATGCGCGAGGTGATACCCGCGGCCTTTTGGCGGTTTCCATGCTTTTGTATGCACGACGTGAAGTAGCTGAGGAGCGGGTCCTCCGGCGGGGGGATGTTGATCACGGGCGGGGCATTTGAGTTATGCAGTCGCGGTGTTACGGGCTGAGGTGGTGATGAGAGAGGAATGTCTATGGGCAAGTTGGAATTGAGCAGCCCGCCAACGGTAGAGAGCGTATCGTTGAGTATGGACGCGTCGCTTGCACTAGGTGGTGCTGTTGCAAGCCATCGGCTGGTTCCAGTAGCCCTGCAGGCCCACGTCCGGGGAGCCACACTTGTTACATTGCGCAACATGGCGGTCTACATTATGTCAGTAATCAACTCACGAATATACACAGAATGAAACCTCACCGTCTTCGAGCCCAATTGGCATACAGCAGGATTCAAGGGGCCATTGCCTCGTCACAATGGGCGTGATGATGCAGTCACACGCAGTCACTCCTGCCAGATCAACAATCCGCGCTCGAGTATTATTCTCCAGCGTTGGTGAACATTAGCTGCTCGGCGCAAGAAATATCGGGTATAGACGTTTACAGAAGTAGTTGGTGTATAGTAATTCGAGTCCATGCGACAACTTATACACAATATAATAGCAATTTCCATTCCGCATCAACGAGGGGAATGGCTCCCGCTCCTAAGCGCTAGCCCTTGTCTCCTCCGTTCCTCCAATCGCAAATGTGTCCGTTCGTCTATATTTTCTAGCTCGTCATCATCGTCATCTTCTAGTGCCTCTGGTAGCCGCGACAGCCCCATGGTGTCCGTCGCGTCCTCATCCTCCTCAAACGCGTTGAATAGGGTCGAGCTGGTGCGCTGATGGGAGGCACGCCGAACGTGGCCCGCACTGTGCGGCGTACCTGGGCCTCCGATGTGTGTGCCTGCAGCCCCGCTCCACCCGTCAATCGACATGCGCCCAGTAAGGCTGAGACGTGGGTTCATAAGCCCACCCTCCAGCGCTGAATGCCCATTCCCGACAGACGGTAATGATTCTGGTTTCCGCGAGATCTCCAGGAGGTGAACACCGAGGAAGGTAGTGATGAAGCCGGCTAGTAATGAAATGGAATTTGCTGGATCGTCGGTGTTAAACCCCTGGAACAATATCACAGACGCTACTATGGTAGCAGTAGAAAACCCGACGTAATACATGGGATTTACGCTGGACTGGAGTGAGCGAAGCATATTTGTGGGCAGGGCACAGACTTACACATTAGTTGAGAATGTGTCGAGCGCTTTGTTGAAGTAATTCATCTGAACGAGAATGCACCCAACCACAACGATTCCAAACACATATGTGCTCATGTGTGTGAATTGGTTGTTGCCGGCGAACGTCAGCTTGACCGCGACACCGAATCCCTTAATCGCCATGACAGATACAGAGCCGACGAGGGAGCATATAGAAATATAGACGAGGGGATTTGATCGGCCGTACTTTGGCACTACTGCGTAGATCATGACAAGGCTGAAAACGAGTACCGTGAAGCAGTACATCATGAATCCTGCAGAACGTCGCATTGGTTGTAACTGCACCCAAAGCAAATTGCGGCTTACCAGGTTGCACAGCATACTGTAAGATTTCATCTACTGTCTGAATAGCCTTGTCTTCAGGGGCATGTAATACAATGATAAGGGAACCGAGAAGACAAAGGGCACACCCGACCCTGCCCAAATGCCCCAGCTCTTCGTTGAGTAGAAATGACGCAAGAATGGCACTAACATTTGCGATATTTGAGGTTTAGCACATCAATGCAAAATCTCTTGTACATACCCTATGATGACACTCAGAGCACCGAGCGGTGTCACCAATATTGGCGGAGCAAAAGTGTAGGCGGCAAAGTTGGCGACTGAAACTCGAGACGTCGACTTCCGCACCAATACACAATACATCACTAAACAAAACTAACCTTCACCAAGCACCACTATTGACACAACCGCGGTCAGGTCCATAACCACGTTCTGCCGAGCAGCAGCTCACTTACAAGTAGAAATCCCCGCCCACCATATGGGGCTTTTGAAGTAGGAGTAGTTTTCTGAAGCAGATGCATATGTCGAACGCGCTGCTGCGTCGTTCAAACCCTGCGCAATGCAGAAAGCAGAATGCCCTTAGCGCGCGACCTCGAGTGGGACACGTTTTGAGAGCAAATGCAGACCTTTTTCGTGATGATAAAGCTAGTGCCAATGGCCAGCGAGCTCGAGACCGCGAGCGCGAGCCCAATATACTTGTCGTCGACCATCGCATGCAGTCGAGCGGTAGAAGGCTGGAAGATAATTCGTCTAAGAGAGTGGACGGGCCAGGGAGCGTGGATTGACCCAGGTTGAGCCTGAGAAGGAATGTCAGGTGCTATCCAATAGTCCCGGCGTTCTAAGCAGTGCTGCGGAAGATGGGCCCCAGATCAAGAGGTAAACCCACGGCGTTCGTCCCAAATTGCTGAAGTCGTCGTAGGAGAAGGTCGGGCGGAGGCGGAGGCGAGGACTTTGGTGATCGGTGCAGTGCGAACAGCGACGATAGGTAGCAGCATCGTGACACATTCCTTACTGAGTCACAATGCAAATACTCAATGGTGTGTGACACAATGCAAATACTCAATGGTGTGTGACCCTTTGCACAACAAGATTCACTATAGTTGTCACATTACACGGTCACAGCTTACTGTCCTCGATATCCCCAGCTGGCTCTCCTTGGGCCGCATCCTCAGTCTGAGGCTCCAATTATATAAATATCTACGGAAAACGAACTCATCTAGGCTTAGAATATTGCAACCTCGAATGTCTGCGCTATTGGCTACCTTTTGTGCGTCCTATCGCGCTGGTATCTCACAATACCCCAGTCCTCAGCGGATTGTACATGTAGTTCAAAAGTCAAGATTCTTTAGCAGTAACACCGCCATGGCCGCGACCGCACAAACCGTAGATACCACAAAGCGATTGGAGGCGTTGCGGCGACTGATGTCGTCGCCTGAATTTAACATTCAGGCGATCGTTATACCCAGTGAAGATCAACGCAAGTGATTCAGATCTTCCCGCAACGGGACAAACGTATCTAAAATAAATTTACACATGAAACTCAATAGATTTCAGCGAGTACATCGCCGCCTGTGATGGCCGTCGTGCTTTTATCTCTGGCTTTGATGGATCTGCAGGTACGGAGATACCGCAGCTACTTGTGAAACTTCATCGATATACTATGATCCCTCCCCACAGGTTGCGCGGTGGTCACGCCAGACAATGCATACCTGTTCACGGATGGCCGTTATTTCTTGCAGGCGGAGAAACAGCTAGATGCGTGCGTACTGTGATTGTTCTGGTCCCATGCTGGTTCCACCGATCATCTGCTGTATTACTTGACGATGAAACCGATCAATAACGCCCTCCATTTCAGGAATTGGAGCCTCATGAAACAAGGCCTGCCAGGTGACTAGCTTTTTTGGATTCTCGACACCTCGTCCTCATACCATATAAGATGTACCGATATGGCAAGATTTTCTTTACAAGGTAAAAGATAATAATTCTTATCCCCTTTGCTCCGACTCAGGTATTTCGTAGAACGTGGCGAAGAACTCGCGCATCGGAGTCGATCCTACTCTGGTCACCGCCGGTTCGTCCCTCGTCCTTCATTTAGTTTTCGGGTGAGAATCTGACGACTCTGTAGCCGACGCTGACGCTATCCAAAAATCGCTGAAGCCATGCGAGTCAGAGCTTGTCTCTCTCAGTCGCAATCTCGTCGATCTTATTTGGACAGAACGCCCTCCGCGGCCAGCCCGGACAGTTTTTCCTTTGGACGTCGAGTATTCTGGTCTGCTCTCAATTGTATTGCAAAACCGCATCCACTAAACCGACTTCTGGATAGGTGAATCGCACGCTGAGAAGATCGACCGGCTGCGCAGCTATTTGAAGAAGGGCGACCATCATGCTATGATTGTGAGCATGCTCGACGAGGTCGCTTGGCTCTTCAACCTCCGTGGCTCCGATATCCGGTACAATCCTGGTGCGTTGTCCTAGCCCTCTGAGGCGGTCACATACTCACGCGATGCGACAGTATTCTTTGCCTATGCGATAGTGACCACGGACAAGACCGTCTTGTTCGTGAATCCTGCGCAAATTGACGATACAGTCCGCGCCCATCTGGGAGAAGAAGTGGACATTCGTTCATACGACTCGTTCTTCTTGTATTTGAAAGAGCTCGGGGCAGAAGTTGGTATCAGCAGAAAATCAGTGAGCGAGGGCATCTCCTGTGGCCGTTCGCAATTATTCATATTACACAGAAGGTGCTCATCGGCGACAAGACAAGTCTGGCGGTTGTGGAAGCTATCGGAGCTGTGCGTCTTTTTTGCGTGCTCACGCGACGCACTATGACTGGGGTGGTTTGGCTGATACTAGATATCGTGTGATATTATCAAGGATCATGTCGTGGTTGCGCGTTCTCCAGTTGCGGATTTCAAGTCCATCAAGAATGCGACCGAGATTGAAGGTACTCCAGCTCCACTCCAGTCCGTGGGACAGGACTAACAGCCAGATCTCGCAGGTTTTAGGCAGTGCCATATCCGCGATGGCGCTGCTCTTGTACGCTACTTCGCGTGGCTCCAAGATCAGCTTGACAATGGCGCTCAATTGGATGAATGCCAGGTGGCAGATCAATTGGAGCGGTTTCGCTCGTGAGTTTTAAAATTTACGGTTTAAGCTCTTGATCGAATCCCTGACATTCGCGTTAAGTGAATTGGACTTATTTCGTGGGCTGTCATTCGCTACAATATCGGCCACTGGTCCAAACGGCGGTATGTCGCAGGATGGCTTGAACCGAATAGACTCGAACTGACATCTTGCAGCAATCGTTCACTATAAACCCGAGCCTGCTGATTGTGCTGTCGTTCAGAAGGACCAGGTGTGTGGTCCTTCATGATATGAGGTGCGAGTAAAAGCTTACCAATAGGCAGATCTATCTGTGTGACTCAGGAGGTTGGTTGTTGAACCGTATCTAGAATCATGCATGCAAGTTTAAAGACACTGAATGGCAGGTCAATACACCGATGGGACCACTGATGTTACGAGAACATTGGTATGTATCAAGCCCCGTGTTTGCTAGCTGCGGCACTGAATTGACTCTACATGGCTTAGCACTTTGGCACGCCGACGCCAGAAGAACGGCGCGCCTTTACTCGCGTGCTGCAGGGCCACATCGCGATCGATATGGCTGTTTTCCCTAGCGGCACAACTGGTAAGCTTCGAGTCCTCGCGTGAGATCTGAATCCAATCGCCAATGCCCCTTCCAGGATATGTCATGTACGTTGGTGGCTGCGAAGCATCGTGCCGCTACTAAATCGAGCTATCAGTGATGCATTTGCCCGAAGAGCGTTATGGGAAGACGGCCTCGGTATGTTTCATTACTTTCCTTCCTCACCACCATCGTAATATTGTTATCTGCGTAGATTATCGGTACGCGGGTTCTCTCACCTGGCGATGGAGTCACCTCACGCATTGCTGTTTTTTGTCTAGTCACGGAACAGGGCATGGTATTGGTGAGTTATATAGTTCGTGCAGCTGGATCCAGCCTGAGCTCCGTGCAGGCCACTTCCTCAATGTACATGAAGGTTATTGCAGCGTTCACCTCATTTGTCGACATTGTTGATTGAGTTGGGCGTGATGACAGGTCCACAAGGCATCGGCGTCCGTATAGGTGCAGTACCCGTATTTCTCCTTGGTATGAGATGTCGTTGACCGTGCCTGACAGCGTATAACAACACTCCTCTCAAGCCCGGAATGATACTCTCCAACGGTGAGCATGCTTGTCGCCTGCGAATGGTAACTGCACTCATTGACAAACAGAGCCGGGATACTATGAGGATGGTAAATTTGGAATCCGTATCGAGAGTGTCATGATCGTCCGCGAGGCACACACCCCGAACAGATTTGGTGACAAAGATTACTTCAAATTCGAAACTCTCACAATGGTCTGTCCATCTCCACAAGCCACACGTACATGTCACCTAATAGTAGCTATTTGTACAACCGCAGTGTCCCATACAGAATAAACTCGTGGACATTGCGTTATTGAGCGAGAAGGAGAAGTCGTGGTTGAATGCCTATCATCAGGAAGTACTGGGGAAAGTTTCCCCTCTGCTCGAGACGGACCAGAGGGCCCTCGAGTGGCTGAGGCGCGAATGCGCAGCCCTGTAGAATAAGTTTTACCTTTATGACATGGGGATCCAGTCTTCTTTATCGGGAATGGCTTGGCCCCTTCCCTCGCGGATCATACCGCCCGCGACAACTTTCATGCGCAGGCCTGCGGCTCGAGCTGCAGGCAGCCGGCTTGTCAGAGCGCAAGCGACGTTAGGCATAACACTCCCTGGATGGAGCTGAATGTGAAAATGGAAGCCAAACACTAGCATGGGAAGATTTTGATGCAGGAAGACGAGGACCTCGTCCATGCGTCGCCAGTCCATGAAGTCCAACCCAGCGTCGGACGTGTTGAAGAGGTTGAAGCGCAGCTTGATCTCCCGTAGACGGGTGGAAGATATCATGGCCAAGAACTCGGGGACGGCAGGGTACCATGCATTCCGGGCGACGAGCGGGTTCTGGATGCCGACGTCGAGGTATTTTAATCGGGGGAACCGGGCAAGATTCACATCCGCGAGGACTGCCAGGGAAGAACGAGGTAAGGGGAAGGATGAGGCACAAGTACGCTTTAGCTCACAAGTCTCGGCCCAAACAGCCAGTCGCAAGTCTTCGAGTGTGGTCTCGGAGAGGCGCAAGGTCTCTAGGAGGATGGGACGCTGCGACGGCTGGGCACTGGAGCCCCACTCCAGCTTGCGAAGCTGGAGCTCGAAAGGAGGCTTGAGCAGCCAGTTGAGCACGACGGTGGGATCGTAGAGTGAATCCATCTTCAGTTCACGGATGATCGTCTTGCCGTTCTCAGGGCTTGCGTCCTGTCCGGGGAGATGGGCCGATGAGTCGGAGACGTCGCCCCACCAGACGAGGTACGCCATCTGGAGAGAATTGAGCGATGGAAACGACATGATCGTCTGCAGGAGCGCGTCCGACGTCGCGAACATGACAGACGACAAGTGGAGGGACTTGAGCCCGGGGCAGAACGAGAGGATGCAGTTCTTCGTGCCCTCATTCGCAGCGAGCAGCTCCCAGTCAATATGCTCCAAGCGCAGGCACTCGACCCGTTTCAATTTGGGGAGTATCTTGGGCATCCAGCGACACAGCCATCGCGTGCTCTCCTCCGCCGGCTGCACCCCGGCGTCCCGATCGATAGGGTCTGGGTCAATGATGCTGATATCGCGGACGTAGTCTGCGACTCGCGTCGACCCCGCTGCAGAGGTCTCAAGCACCCTATGGAGACATGCGCAGTCCTCTGGACCTCTGATGACTACGATCTCGAAGAGGTGGAGGCGGGTGGTGGGCACCCAGGCGCGGCATGTGAGGCTACAGGCGAGCAGCGTGCGCTGGTCGTCCCAGAGGTAGTCGAGGATGTGGTCATACAGCTCAACTGGGAGCTCGCGGCGGGGCATTTTGGGACGCTGTGGAGTGCAGATGAGCCTCGTTGTGACGAGCAATTTAAATGTGTACGGACCTCAGCGTGACAGATGGGACCCGCAGATGGCAACCTGAACAGTGGCATGCATACTCCACTGTCCAGAGGGAACATGCTGCTCTGTGCGAGCGCCTTGTCGATATGGAGAGGACCCTGGAGACGAAGGTTGAATGGCATCAACATGGCAGGATGTTGCGGGGTCGCTGTCCCTGGAGAGTCGTACGCGTAAGTAAGCTCAGAGGCGGCAAATGCCACAGGAAGTTCCCTCGCACACCAGAGTATTCCCATCGTACCTATTTGATCAGGTTCCACGCTTCCACGTCGGACCCGCTGTGAACATCTGGCCATGCCATCTGACCCTCTGCTTTGCAGGCAGGGGAACAGTCAGCCAGAACGAGAAGACCAGCCGTCACTTCAACTGTCCGGCCTCGAACCTAGAGAACCAACATGGATAATCATTTGGGATTTCTGGCGTTAGATAGACTCACCCATCCTGGTCGTCTTGACGCCGCTGTACAAAAGTGCTCTGGCATACGCAGTAGTTCACGTTCAGGACCAAACGAGGTAATGTGTGCCACAGGAACTCAATCAAATGTTGATTGACTGGAATTGTGGCCTAGGACAAACACGTTATCGGTCTATGATATGCATGTCACGTCGGCGGCCAGGGAAGATTGCGCGGCATCAGTAGTATTATATCAGAATTTTCGAGTCGGCAAATATTTACATGGATGATTGTCCTCGGCAAATGTGGCTCGGCTATTGCTAGCACTATGTAAATGTTCCATTGACAATGACATCGTTTCACTAAGACGCTGAAATCTAGAAGAGTCTTTCATGCTGCCAGATTTCTCTGAAGACCAGATCTGACAAATCAAGTTGATTCACCGATCAACGGGTAAGTACGGTATTATATTGCGGCTCTTAAAGATAGCAGCAAGCCGGTTTGAACGCAGCCGAAGAGTCGGCGTGGATTCATACCGATGGCCGCTGACCATACCATGGACAGGAGAGTTGCCACAGCACAAGCTACGTACAACCAGGACTGGCATAGTTCTTGCCAAGATGATCCAAATCGACACAATCGCCGGTAGGCGCATGGCAGTCTCACAAGAAGTCGGTGATATAAATTCCTCAAGCGCGCACCTAAGCGGATGTCTCAACGTCCAATCCACGCAAGTATATCATACAGCCGGACGCTGATCCGCATTGCTATTTTATTGCGCGTTGTTATCGGGAGAATGCAGAAATGCATTCTGCACGCTGATTAGGCCGACATATTACTTTTAAAGAGACCCACACACTCACACATACTTCGCCCTTTCCCGTTTCGATCGCGTCTCTAACATGTCTGCAGCGAGTTCACGAGTAGCACAGATCGCCGAGCACGTTGGCGGCCACACACGAGTTGCCCTGGTCACTGGGGCCGCGCAAGGGATTGGTCTTTGCATTGCCCTTCGCCTAGCTGACGACGGCCTCGACGTTGCGGTAAACGACCTTTCCTCCAAGGTAGATCTCCTTGAAGAGGTTGTTCTGAAAATTCGAGAGAAGGGAAGACGATCTATCGCTGTCCCCGCCGATGTGACGCAGGACCAACAAGTCAAGCAGATGATTGCCACAGTAGCGGAAAAGCTGGGCGGACTGGACGTGGTAAGCAGCTACCAACGTGCTAAAGGTCCACAAAGTCACCTATCCTCCAAACAGATGGTCGCTAATGCAGGGATTTTGCTGGTCAAGCCGCTTCTTGAAAGTATGTTATGTGAACTCAGCGTGCATGTTACGCACACAGCTGACAACGTCAACAGCTACACCAGATGAATGGGACCGTTCCATGACTGTGAATACGCGGAGTATGATGCTCTCATACAAGTATGCGGCGGAACAGATGATAGCGCAAGGGAGGGGTGGACGAATCATCGGTGAGATTTTAGTGACGACAAAGACCAATGTTAACTCAGCTCAATTCCGCTATCTTCAGGCGCTTCGTCGATTGCGGGAAAGAAAGGTTCGCAAGGATGTCACGATAGTGGGAGCACCTTTGAAATAATTCTGATTGATTCAACAGGATCGATCGGTCTTCCTGCGTATTGCGCAACAAAATTTGCGGTACGCGGGTTAACCCAGTCGGCAGGTGAGTGCGGCCAGTGTTTGCCGAGACGCCTTGCTGACCAGATGAGTATTCTTCTTAATCAGCTGAGGAACTTGCCAAGCACAACATCACGGTCAATGCATATGCGCCAGGAATCATCACTACTAATATGGGTGCGCACCGTTCTAAACATTACGCGTGTCCCATAAGGTATATTGATACAGCTTGCGATTGCACTTACCAGGAGCGGACCTAGCGGCTGGTTTCGAGGTAGATATGCACGTTACCACTTGGTACCATGGTCTGACAGCCCATTAACAGTCACTCAGAATCGATACGGCAGTGCCAGTAGCAGAACCGGAGGTAGTCAGCAGTGTGGTTTCCTTTCTGGCCAAACCTGAGTCATACTTCATAACAGGTCAGTACCAGCTCGCACTCTGAGACATTCAAATGCTTAGAAATTTCGATCTGACAAAAGGACAATCCCTCTCGGTCAATGGCGGCGCATACTTTGATTGAATCGTACTTCAGACGACGTAACTTTTGCTTGATGTATGTTGCGCAGGATGATTGTGAAGTAGCGTCGCTTTCTATAAATTTTACTCCGAGAGTGGGACGTGAGTGGCTCGTCGTCAAACAAAGACAATCATGAACAGGTTATGCCAGGGGGGAAATTGTGGTGCGAGCGCGGGAAAGACGGACTCACATCTCGAGAACACAGTGGTGCTTGGACAGCTGGACAGGATCGATGATTGCTGTCCTACTTCAGAGAACATAGAACAAAGGTTCATTAACTCATGCTCTGCCAGTATCTCTTTCATTCCAAAGTAGGGACCACCACAAACTGGTTAAGATCGTTTGATACAATAGTTGATGATGCCCATTCCAATATCGAGTTGTATTGTGACCTGCAGGGTATCACGGTGTTATTCAAAGTTATCATGAGATTCAGAATACAGAGACAGTCTTACACTGTTACAGACCGTGATCTTGGTATGGTGATAACATCACGCCAGTCTGCTCTAGATATGAGTTTAGAGCATAGAGACCCGAATATGAGCTATTAGGTTTATTGAAGTTCAAGTTGATCTTCAAGCATTTAGGATCAGACTCCAGACTTTGTCAGACTCATCTTGGACACATTTCAAGTTCTTGAGTCGCCCGTGTACGCCGGTTGCCGACGGGCTCGAAACCGTTCTTGTCAATCACATGATTTGGACAAGGTTCCTTGATCTTTTGCAGAGCCGATCGAACCTGACCCGGAGCCCGAATACGAAGGCAGTCACCTTCCGAGTCACGGTCTGCCCGCAGGAGAACTCAATGCGAACAAGTGAATGAACTGGTGAGTTTTCATTATACGTCTCCGAATCTTCATAAATTGATCATTCAATGTCGTGCTGTGACCGGACAGGATACATGATGGCTTTTGAAGGCCCAGTAATTGTACACTTTGAGGGTTTCGTATGCTCGCGCCACGGCTTCGGAAGACGACTATTTGCCTGAAAGATAACATTCATAACATTCAACGATGTCCGTCGAGGTTACGTACCTGCGATGCGCGACTTTCATTATTTACGTGAGTGTTTCAATGAGTCGTAGGAGGAGAGTGCTAGGGCCTCGCAGCGATATCTATGTGAATGACTATGACGCTTATGGTCAGTCGCGTGCGTATGTCGCTGTGCGACCCTGAAGAATCACTCAAGCGTTTCAGTGGCCGAATGTTTTATGCTTGTGGTACTGGCCTAGTGCACTGGCCATTTGTGTGTCGTGCATCGATCGAATCGATTGCGGTCGAATAGACAGGAAGGCTATCACCGTGAACACGATCAGAGGGAAGCCGATGGCTTTCATATCGGCTCCACGGTGAACATTTGTATTCGGCATCGCCAGCCAAGAGATTGTTTGTAGCAGTCTTCGGCAATTTTGAAAAGAAGAATGTCTGGCTTCTAGCAGTTTTGTACGGTAGGTCTCTTTAATCCAGCTAAAAGCATGGATCCATTGCTAGTCGATCTGCCTTCATTCCTGCTGGGATTAATTTGAGTTTCTATAGTGACAGTCTAGGTTCCTATAAACACGATGCACCATTATACTCTATTGTGCATTCCTTCTGACGAAACGTCTATTTCAGGGGCCTCCTATAACATGTCTTCAAATCTCGACTCATACGTTGACCATCTCTAAGAGTCCCACCAACATCTCCCTCAAATTTGGACTTGGATCAGCAGGTACAACATGACGGATAGCTCGTTTTCTGACGCCATGTACGGATTATCATCGTCGCATCATTTGACTCACTGCTTATCGCCGCCGGCAAGATTACAACTGCAGCTTGCGATGACCGCCAGATACAGCAGAACATAAGACAGACCGATTTTGGCGCAGACTGCGCTCACATGGCATGAAGCATCAAAAATACATCGAAGCGCTTCAGTGTATCAGATGAAGGAGCGACGGAGGCTTCCCTGGTACAGTGCTGCCGTGTCGTGAGAAAGGGTGCCAAGGCCCTGGGATACAGTTAAACCTAGCAATACTTTAGTGGCCTCTAAAGCAAATTCGTTGTCGTGGAAGCTCGAAAGATAGCCACCTCCCTTGAATTTTTCCATGGGCACAGAGTTGCAGTTGCGGGCCTCGCCGCCGCGCGTCGCACTTGTGACTGGGACGGCTCAAGGGATTGGACCGGCTATTGCCCTATGTTTGGTCGACGATGGTTTCGACATGTCAGTAGACTCGATATTGAACCGAAAGCTGCTCAGTTGCAAGGAGCCATGGTAAATCTCGCGGCAAAGGGGAGAATTCATGACGAGAAGAGCGGGTGGTGTCGACAGTTTCCCGGGTGGCTGAGAAGCTGGGTGGCTTAGATGTTGTGAGTAGCTTTCAAATTCTAATTTCTCAGTAAACTTCAGGTGTGACTCATCTTGCAGTGCTAGATAGTTACTCACGCAAGTACAAAAGTTACCACGGTGTCGAATATTACTGATCATGCCACTACTTCTGCTGTAGGCGCATCCTCTTAGGCTGACAAACAGGCTCAGTGTACATCATATAGTGCTCATCGACTCCAGACTTTGATGACTCTCAAACATGAGTAAATTTGAATTTTTGTGGAAATGCATTACGATGTGAAGCTAGATTGCTTACAGGTACTACCTCAGGGTAAAGTTTGTATAATATATCTCGAGGGTAAGACATATAATCTATAATTCTTGCATCCCCCTACTCAATTGTTCCCACATCGTGATAGCTCACCCCACGATCTAAGACAGGGCCGGATGTTATTGCTAGTCCAGTGTCATACCTTATAAAGCGCGAACTCTACTTTATAACAGGTGAGCACTGTCTTAATATCAACTTCAAAGTGTGCTTGCGATTCAGCTGCAAATGAATCATAAACGGCCGGGTATTTTGCAACTAATTAGCTTGAATCCCATCCCTATAGTCTTGCATCCCTTGGGAGTTTCAGCGCGGTTTTCCGGATGCAACACGATTTGCAGAGATCGCGCCATGATGCTCTCGACTCACATGCATTTCGCACGATTTGTTTGCTCGTACAATCATCTGAGTGCATCAGATGACTTGCGAGTGCTCTTGCCCTCACTGCCAACATAGATGCTAGATTGTCCGGAAACGGGAAGAAATTTGTCCCACAGCAATGTACCACGAGGTATCAGACTGTACTTTTTCCTAACGCCTACTAAGCGTTCCCAAGACTCCGGTACCCTGTGACTCGGTACGTCTGTACTTATTGCACCGACTATTTGGATGCGACCGTCGTGCCCGAACACCTTATCACCTTATCTTTGGAGCCATGGCGCAGTCTAACTCTCCAGCTCGCATTGCGTTTGTCACTGGCGCAGCGCAGGGACTGGGTGAAAGCATTGCTCTTCGGCTGGCGGATGATGGGCTCGACGTCGCCATAAACGATATCCCGTCCAAAGTCGAACAACTGAAAGCGGTGGCCACACAGATTGAAGGGAAGGGAAGACGAGCTCTCGTCTTAACTGGAGATGTCACCCGCGAGGAAGATGTTCGAGATAATGTAGTTCAGGTTGTAGGTCAACTTGGGGGGCTGGATGTGGTTCGTAGATTTGTGTGCCTCAGGTTAATGTGAGATTGCAGCCATCGATGTTCGCCCACAGATGATTGCGAATGCAGGGATAGGTATTCACAAGTCATTCCTCCAGAGTCAGCGCTTGTTCATTCTTACTTCGTTGCTTCCCCTCATGATTACATTGCAGCTACCACGGAAGAATGGGATCGCATAATGGCCATCAATTTACGAGGCGTCATGCTCTGCTACAGGTATGCAGCATTGCAAATGATAAAACAAGGAAGGGGAGGAAGGATAATTGGTGACGGTTCTCACTTTCCGAACGGCGTCATAGCGAGCTCATCCTCATCTCACCACAGGCGCAAGCTCCCAAGCGGGGAAGAAAGGTGCAATCAACCTTCTGTATGTAACGCCGTAAGTTGATCATCTGCCGAGCTCCGCAGGAACGACCAACTTGTCTGCCTATTGTGCGACGAAGTTCGCCGTGAGAGGTCTCACACAGAGCCTGGGTGAGATATTGTATTGCCGCTTTATTAATTCGAGACCTAAAGACGAATACCCCAGCTCTGGAGCTGGCGGAGCACAATATTACGGTAAATGCCTACGCACCAGGTTTTATCTTAACATCTCTAGGTAAGTCACCAACCAGATATTTGAGAATACCTTGGTACGACGACGTCGCATCATAGCCTACCATCCCAACGACGCTGTGAATGGTCTGAGACCCGGAGGAACAATCAAGCAAGTGAGTGCATTTATGTAATCAATGTCTATGGTATTCTGAGAGCTCTTACAATGTGACTTTCCCAGCTGTTTGGTTTGCCCTTGGATTCCCCTGAAGCTCAACCAGAAGTCATATCCAGCATGGTCTCCTATCTGGCAAAACCAGAATCATACTTTATAACTGGTAGGAACATTTGTCTCGTGCTTTCTCACTGCAAGTCACTCATGCGGGTGCGCACTCACAGGCCAGACAATCTTGGTAAACGGAGGAACGCTCTTCGACTAGGTCAGTAGTTTACAACCAGTGCAATTATCCATCTATGCATATGAGTTTGCTATGTGAGTAAGTACAAGTGAGGGGCTCCAGATTGTCAACGATGACTATGCAAGCAAGAACGAAGTAGTTAATAAGCTATAAGGCAAAGAGGAATACTGCTAAATGGTGTAGATGCGAGTGGTAACATACGAATAAGACGAGAAGCGATAGCGACAGAGCATTATGACTTAGTATCCATCAAGTATGGAGCAGGTGTGTTCGATCCGGTAGTCAGTGGAGTAATCGTACCCTTCACACCAGTGGACCAGAAGACGCCTCCGGCAGGCGAAGGAATAGCAGGCGTCACCGGGCGTGAAGTAATAGGTGTGTTAACCTGAGTGTTCGCTTGCGAACGGTTATGAGCCATGTGTGCCCGAACGAGATGCCCAGCAGCAAGGGCGCTGATGAGAGAAAGTTCACCTGCCATAACGGCTGAGGCGATAATGCGCGCGAGACGCTGAGCATTTTCACCGGGGTTGGTTGGGTGGGAACCCTTGACACCGAGCATCTCCAATACGGCCTGCTGTGGCGCAAGTACAGTACCACCTCCAATTGTACCGACCTCGATGCAGGGCATCGTCACTGTCATAAGCAAATCTTCCCCATTGTTGGTTCTGTGAAATAGGGATCATTAGAACCATATTCGCAAAGACAAATACAGCACACTTACGGCTCCATCAGAGTCATGCACTGAGAGCTTTCCACGTTTTGCGCGGGATCCTGACCAGTCGCCAAGAAGACCGCAGTCAAGATGTTGGCAGCATGGGCATTGAACCCTCCGATCGAGCCAGCCATAGCACTACCCACAAGATTCTTCTTCGTGTTGAGGTTGCACAGAGCCTCAATCGTGGTCTTCAGTACAGCCTTCACAATCTTGCCAGGAATGACGGCCTCTGCGACGATACTCTTGCCACGACCCTCGATCCAGTTAATTGCAGCAGGCTTCTTGTCCGTACAATAGTTGCCCGAGAGTGCAAGAACGACCATCTCAGGGAACTCCTTCGCCATCGTGTCGAGCGCCTTCTCAGTAGCCTTGGAGATCATGTTCATACCCATCGCATCACCGGTGCGCGTGGCGAAGCGTACAAACAACGTACGGCCGGCCATGGCGCACTTGATATTTTGCAATTTCGCGAACCGCGACGTCGACTCGAACGCTTCCTTCACAATGGCATATCCTTCCGATGACTCGACCCAGGCCTTGGCTCGGGCAGCGACAACGATAGAGGGGAAGTCGATTGCAGGACCGCGAGTCATACCGTCATAGGTCAGCACGGTGGTGACACCTCCACCAGCATTAAGAGCCTTGCATCCACGCGAGGTTGACGCGACCAGAGTACCTTCGGCGGTGGCCATAGGAATAGGATACAGCTCGCCGTCGACCTTCAGTGGACCCGCGATACCGAGAGGAATCGGCATGTAACCAATGACGTTCTCACAGCATGCACCCATCACGCGAGAATAATCGTAGTTAGTCATGGGTACATCAGAAGCCTCCAGCGTCTTGGTTTTGGAAGCACGAGCTGCAAAATACAATATCATGAGCAGAGGCATGTACCGTCCAGTCAGTTACACTCACAAATTAAAGCCCGACGAACGAGAACAGCCCTTTCCAAGTCACCAAGCATCTTCTCCAAAGCGTAAGGAGCAATCTTGCCGTTCTGCGCAAGAAGCACCACCTCTTCATCCTTAAGCATCGACAGCGAAACGGACACAGGCCGAGGACCATTCTCAAAGATGTCAATGCACTCCTCTAGGGAACGCATACTGACTGGGTGGGACTCCTTCACATCGCCACCCTCCGAGTCACTGTTGGACGACGATTCGCCAGGGGTAGGTAACGAGCGGACAGCAGCCTGTCTCAACTTCATGTCCACGCTCTCCAGGTTCAGGGGTGCGCTAACAACCGGACGAGGCTCGGGCAGTTTGACGGGAACCGCAGTTACGGGCGGCACAACGGAAGGCATGGTGACAACGGGAGCGACTGGCACATGCAAGGTTTCTTCCACTTCCACTTCTTTCTCTGGTCTAACCCTCGAGCGCACTCGCGAGCGGAACCGCACACCCTTGTCCCTGACCGCCTTCATCGCCGCCAATCCAGATCCCGCAGCAATACCCCTCAGCAAGTATCCGTTCAGCGCAACGCTAATTGAAAGAAGAACGACAATCCACTTAGAGAGAACGGGGTCGCCAACGACGTCAGACCAGCTCGTCATAAAATTCTCGATCGCCTCGGTTTTGGTGCTGGATGACGCAACAGGGAGAACCAGGAGGTAGATGGGCGGTACGACCTTGACGATAACTTCAGGCTCAGACTCGCCATGAATATTTCCAGCCTTCTCAGCTGCAACCAGAGTGGCCAAGACATGAGAGATGGCGGGACTGGTGATATCAACCAGAGGAGCCGGTGGGACGGCATCTGCAGCCGAACGAACAGAGTGTCTGTTATGACGAGCGAGGGCTGTGGCTGGAGTGAGAGTGGTGCAGAAGTTTAAGATGTGCATGGTTAAAAAGGATGCAATCTAGAATAGGAGGAAGATCAGTTGCCGAAACCACAAAATGTATCTGGAAAATTGCTCACCAAAAGCAACTTCAGCCGATACATGGGGTTCTCCTCTGCCGGTAGAGCCTTGGATTCCGGAGTGTCAGGGAGAAGAGAGCCCTTGACACCAAGAACAGCCGCTGACACTCGCTCCCTAGTAGTTTTAGCCACTGGCGTGGGCTTGGGCCCTGTCTTCGTCAGCGCAGAACGTACGACATTGCTGGAAGTAATCGAAGAACCAGAGGGGCGAGAGCGAGACATTTCACGGACAAGCTTGACACGGCGAACCTATATAAAGAGCACAAGGTCAGGCATGGTCCACAAGGACAATTGCAGAGGAAAGTGATGAGCCGAGCCGAAAGAAAATCAAATGAATCGACTCCACGTGATTATGAAAACGAGTTCACGTGCAAGATAGATTTAGGCAAATAGTAATCAACACGTACCTCAACCATAATTGTGAGAATGGACGCATAGAATGTGTTCAGCATTAGACAGTCAACCGCGAGAGCAACGGCTGCTACAGAGCAGAATTCCTTTAATCCTCCGACACCACTGTTGACACCAACGAGCAGCACAACAATCTCGAGCGCATAATCCCGAAGAATAACATTGCCAACCCGATCCAAGGCATCAAGAACAATGTCACCTGCCGTCTTCATGCGGCCATCTTCCTGGGGCTTGAGAGTCTGGGGATGAGCGAGCACAGCGCGCGCGAGGCGAAGAGGCTTATCGAAGCCAACTGTACAGACTAAGAACGGGAGCGCCTCTGTCAACGCAATAGGATCGAGCGGGATGTTCAGGTATCGGCAGAGCGGGAGAGTGAATACGAAGCTTGTCACCGCAGATGCAAAGATGCCTGTCGAGAGCCAGAAATTGGAGCCCAAGGCGCGCGAGGAAAGCCACAGCCGTAAAAATGTAACATGCATCAAGATATAGCCTAGCAGGACAACGATTATGTCCAATGAATCCGCTTTCTGTACGACAGTCAGACAAGACTAGTATGTGCAAAAGTACGTTACGTACCTTAGTGAGTTCCCAGAAGCGCACAAACGTTGCACGCAGAGCATATGCAACCCACTTGCTGCTTTTCATCTCGCCAATTGTCTCTTCGCGTTTGGCCCCCCGAAGATCAAACTCTACGCCATCGACCGTAATCGACTTGATTTCCCGAAGGGCAGCAAGCCAATCATCGCGCGCACCGGGTGCAAAGGACAGAGTAAGGATGGACGAAGTAGAATCAGATGAAGCCGAAAAAAAGCACGGAGCCGAGGTAATGTTTGACGGATGATGGCAGACGGACGAATAGGGCTCGCCCGAAAGACCTCTCAACTGCTGAGGAAGGTGCTCGGTGATTTGGGACAGAATAGATGGCTTGGAACCAAGCTCGGGTACAACCTGGAATGATGAAAAGTTATGTCAGTTTCGCTGGAACAATCGGCCATTCACGGAAGAAGCACGAAGATAAAATCCCGGCTAAGCTCACTAGATAAGCCGGAGCCGAAGAGGAACGGAACAGCGCAATGCCCGGACCAAGCTCTGAAGGAGCGTCACAGTATGAGTACGACCGCGCCTCAGCCTCGTCATGAGCACCGCAGCCGCATGATTACGAGCATGGAGCATGAACAGGTAACGGCTCCTCAAAGACAACTGGAATGGCCCAGTCGACGGGAGAAGTCCAAGCAAATCACCAGACAGTGCCACCGGAGATACGCCGTTACAAGAACTTGGACCGGACTGCGCGCCAAATAGGTTCCAAGTGAATATGTCCGAAGCTCACCTGGTTTCTCTTGTCGTCGAGTTTGAACACAATTTGCTGCAACTCCGTAGACTTCACGCCGTCTTCAGGGTGCTTCCACGCATCCACCCATTCGCGCTTGCCGACGCCAATCCACTCACCGTTGCGAAGGCGCGCGTGCGCAGGCCTCAGGGTGGTTGGATAGGACGGGGCAAAGAATGACGAGTGTTTGATGCCATTGAGGATGTGGAAGTAGGCAAGCATACCCACTACGAAAAAGAAAACGATCGACTCGATAGGGAAGAAGACATTGTGCGTCGCAAAGGGTCTGACGAGAGCACGCATGGTGGTGAGTTCAAGAGGGGGCGCCGGACTAGCCCTGGATTATATGGCTGAGATATGAACAAACGCAGGAGCCGGTGGGCTGTTCAAGTGGAGATCGGACGTGTCAGCAATGCCTCCATGTCGTACGAGAAATGCAAGCGCGTAGACGCACCGAGGCCACCTGCGAGAGCTTGCTGCTGAGCTTATGTTTATCTGGCGCCGGCAGCAGCAGAAAGACTGCGTAGAGGGGAACAGGGAGCGACAGGAATAAGACAAGGGCGGGCTCGCTGTGCCTCGCAACGACCTTGATGAATAAATATCGCGCGAAATAATAGTCGACGTCGAACCATTTTCCCGTTTCTTTGACGCCCACTGTGCATTATTACCCCTTTTGGATGTGACAACTCTCTTCCCCGCCGAGTTTGGCAAGGCCTGTCGTTGAAGCTGTTCGTGGTGGAATGCTGACCGCAACAAGCCGTTATCGATTTCTCGTTACTAACAGCTCCTCCATGCTAGCCAAATATCTGCTTTACTATTACTCGAGTTGCTCCACTCTTCGACTTGCCTGCCAGCAATCCTCGAAAGTGGTGTTCAGTGGCAAGTGAATTCTTTCTTTCTACGGCCACAGCTTCATTCCGCGCCGCCAAGCATTGCTGGTAATTGCATGCATATTCTACCTGCCGAGGTGCATCGGGACCGGTTCACAGGTATTATCCGATTCTATGCACATGTATGCGATATGGTCGGAGCCTGGGCTACCACGCTGTGCAATGCAGACAACACACGGTCCTTGATCGGAGGTGGCCACTGTGCGGCTCGTTCACATCCTTCCGTAAGCATGAAAGAGATTACTACGGGGAAGATGCTTACAGATTCGGCTGAACCTTCCGTTTGACCCCATGCTATGCGCATTTTGGACGCACAATCATGATAGCAGAGACTATCTATGTGAGTATCAGCCCTTCTGTTCACAGACACCAAGCGTCAGTAAAGTGGGCCCACGTTTTACTCTCGCCATACAGCGCTCCTACGACATCGTGCAAATGGGTGGAGATGCACATATCCGAAGCAACGGAAATTGCGCTCGTCTATTTCCACTGATCTCCGATGGCTAGCTTCTCCAGAACTCCCGCGACTAGACTCAGCCACACCGTCGAATCCTCCTGTCATTTGAGCTGATATACCATGTTCCGCGCCTCGACAAGGCCGCTCCGGACCGTGCTCCTGCCTTCACCGGAAGCGCACAGGATGCCTCACGAAGATCTCTTCGAATGGGTCATGTTCCAACTGCTACCGATTTTTGTCGAAGTTGCGGACGCGAAGTCATCCTCATCAGTAGACGTTGTACACAGAACGTAAGTGGCCTATCTTCCATGCGGCGTCAAACTATTCGATATCGACGGTCGACTTGGACAGAACTGTGATGTGGCAGACACGATGCTCCTCTATCCGACCGCACACAGCCCTTTTTCCTCCACACGGGCTCGGCCCATCGCCTGGGGAGATTCGTAATGCTGCTCCATTCCCACTCAACTTACTCAGCCAGCCAATCAGAAGTTCAAGATAGGAAGGCGCGTACCGAGGCTGAGTTCGTACCTACCATCAACAGGCCTATGAGACCTGGCTAGGTACGACAGTCGAGTCCTACCATCAGCTTTCCAAGACTGGTTTGCATGCAGCATCCGCGCGATTGGGTACAAGACCAAGAGCAAAGCTTGTGAAGGGTTTCGGCGCTGCAGGCCGACGCAGATTGAAGGCCGAGACAGCCAGCCAATCACTTGCACTCTATGTACGTACGCACTACCCCACCGCCGCGGCGGGGCTTGCTGCCCTATTGATTCTCAGAGCCTGTCAATGCGTGCGATTCAACGCTATCATAGTACCAGCTGTCTGAGTGTAATTGGATTAGCATTAGCGTAGGGTCTTTGCGATCTTATCAGCGCGCCTCTACGCCGGGTGATGGTGTTTAATTTGATAAGTTTGTGGTGTGTACCGGAACACCTGTTGGGGTTCATAATCCTAGACAACGTTCATAGTTCAGCTATGAAAGATGCATGGAACGAGAAGCTAAGGGCATCCATAATCCGTCGTGCTCTACTCGCATCCAGCAAAAATAACCATACAGACACCCGTCAGTACGAAGCGTGACATGCCTCAATTTGTGCGCTATATTTGATATGTGATGTCATATGTAGTGTCTCTGCTCAAGGTATTCTGATGTCGCAATTCTAGACCTCTTTAGCGACGACGGTGAGAGGCCGTACTGTTGACTCCTTCTGCTCAGGGAATATGATTGTGATGCCCCACATGTCTGCCATCAGCTCCAGCTCCGCAGACATGAAGGCCCTGTGGGGTAGCCTATCGGAGAACAGATGTACGCTAGGTAGCATGAACGGAAGCCTGTCAGAACACAGATAAATGCCCGCAGTCAGTTTGGTTTGTTATAGTACCCGATGGCAGTAGTTAGCAGCTGTTCGGTAAACAATGTGGGTGAACTGTACTCAACTGCGAAGAATGATGTCGTGCGACGACACGGTATAGGGTCTTCGGATAAACATAGCTTGCACGTTCAAGAGTAGCTCCATAGCTCAATACTCCTGCAGCGGGCGTTTGTGCTATTCAGCATCAAGCTTCTTGACAATCTTCAGCTTTGTGAGGCCCAACATCGTCCATAAAAGCTCGAACGGCTCTACATGTGGATTGTTCACTTGTAGTGGTGAGTTTGCAGAAGATCTGAATTGGGAGCGTGAGGCACGGCTCGGAGTATAGACTTCTGTGCGCCAGGTCACCATCGCAAGTACCCTCTTTGTCTTGCTGCAATAGATGCACAAATTTGTCAACCAAAGCGTTCACAGCGTGTTCATGCCTGTGCCACACGCCTTGAAGACATTCACAGCTCGATCGCCGCGGTATTGAAAGTCATTTGCTGTCCATTCCTTACAGCCGTACTGTTGAGCCAGGGCATTGTTGCAGTCAGGGGAAAATGTGCTCATAAAAGCCAAAGGGCTTATTTGATACTGATGGGGGATAAAATCCATTTTTGTGGTTCGTAATCATGAGCCAGAGTCGTGGGCAGGAGCAGTTGTTGACCCCGGCTACATATTGACACTTGGACACACACTCGTCAGTTTGACTGCCTTCATAGGAAGAAGAGATTTGATTCGCGAGTTTGGTCAGTTCTGCAGCGATATCTTCTCTTCGCTCGTCGATGACATCGAAACGCACAACGTATGGATCAGCTCTACACGTCGAGGCTTCATTTTCTGAACAGATTGTCCTATCGCATCTTACAGGACGGCGAATCAGCCTTCGATAGTTCTTACATTCCCCCATTTGATGCGTAGGACTCCTCGTCTACATATATGCGGGCTGAATGTCGTCCCAGGCTGTAAATGACATCAGCCACTGTATTGAATTTGTAAAATTTGAAAGCACTACTTCTCGTGAGTAGCTCACGGGTATTGATCTTCGAGTAGCCGTCGAGGTGGATCACTCTTTAGTATTTAATATCTTTCCTGAAACTTATTTAAGCAGCCAACATCATATCATTAGCTCGGAATGCGGAACTAAACGCACTATTTGAGCCTGCATCTCACGATTTCTTCTACTAGCACTCGTTTCGCAGCTCTGGCTGTTTTGCGCCAAGTCTTGCTGCACCGTAGAATGAAGCATACAGTCTCTTGCGGATATCTTCTCTTACTAACCAAATTAGTGCTGCTGGTGAGCTCCACGAATTCATATTCCTTTCAATTTGAGGTATCCATAATATCGTAAGGATGCTGGACATCCAGCCAATGGTAAGAATGCCACGCAATGAGATCGTTTCACTCTCGAACCAGTTATCTCACCATTGCTCAAGGGTATACAGTTATGATAATGAAATGTATGATTGTCTTTTAGCTTCTACGCCTACGCAAAGAAGAATTAGTCAAAATGTTACCAAGAGCATTGAGAGGTGAAAATTCGGAGGCGAAACTCTAAGCAGTATCGGGTATCAAACTTGCAGCATGTCGAGTCATCCCCTGGACAGTTTGCGTCGCATTTATGACGATGTTTAACGAAGGCTACGGCTGTGTAACGCAGCCTTCGTAGCCACTTCAGACACG